TTAGCTTTCAACTTCACTTTTGTTCTTGATTTGTTATCTCAGCAATATGATAGGAAAGGAATTAGTTAAAATGTATTTTATATATTTCCTAATTTACAAGTCAACCCTATAAAGTAGATGTTATCACACTCAACTTACGTATGAGAAAACTTATGTCACAGATTAAGTCACTTGCTAAAGTCACAAAGTTAATGACCCAGGGTCCATGGAACCCTCATTTGTCTGCCTGTGGAGCTCAGTTCTCAGAAATGACAGAATGCTTTTCGCCACCTTGGACAGGTATAGGATAGGGCTGGTTTAGAAACCTAATCATGGGAATAGAGAGATGGCTCTGTGGGTGGTTAAGAGCACTGGCTGTTATTACAGAAGACCTGGGTTCAAATCCCAGCATCCACATGGTGGTTAACAACTGTCCATAACTCCAGTTCCACGGGATCTGATGCCCTCTTCTGTCCTCCGTGGGCACTGGACGACATGGGTGTGCTTACACACATGCAGGCAATATACACATAAAATAAAAATAATACAATATTAAAAAGAGAAACCTGATCATACTATTTGCTTGGCAATTCCCCTCTGCTGTTTGTAGGCTTGAATTAAAAAAAGAGCACACAGCATTTTTGGTTTTCTGACCCTTCGCAGTACTTGATTTAGCCTTTTAGTTATTATAGTCTAAAAATAAGAAGATTGTTTCTTTAAAAAAATTCCATACTATAGAATTCTTCCTCTTTTATACCAGCCATCTCACACAGTGGTTAGCTTGAATCTAGGAATCTTACCTTATCTTGGCTGTGTAAGGTTAATCAAGATCAATAGGGAAAAGCAGGGATGTATACAAACCAGGCTGACACTGACATTTGCATAGCCAGGCCTTTACCCTTCTTAGCATAAAGAGTGAGTTCAGCATCTAGCACAATTCCTATCTGAGTAATAGAGAGTCAAAATTACTGAAGGGAGGCCAGGCTTGGTGGTGCATACCTTTAATCCCAGCACTCAGGGGGTAGAGGCAGGCAGATCTCTATGGTACTGAGGCCAGTCTGGTCTACATAGCAAGTGCCAGGCCAGCTGGGGCTACAGGGAGACCCTATCTCAAAAAGACGAAAAAAAAAAAAAAAAAATTTTAAAAAAAAAAAAAAAAAAAAAAAAAAAAAAAAAATGAAGGCCACAGTCACTATGAGAGTCAAGACATCAGAACTAGACAGAATATGCTCATTAGAAACAACAGAACACAGACATTTTTATAGTTCTTAGTAAAATAGGAGCAGAATGAATTGAATTTAGTCAATCCCTGATTACTTTTTCCTTTTCTTTTTTTTTCTTTCTCAAACTCCTTTGTTTATTCTAGTGACATTAACTTTCATGAATGCTTGTAATTAAGTATTAAAATTATTTCCTACTCTCTCATAGGTCCCTAAGAAATAAATTAATGTATCTCTGATTTTATAATTTACAGGTAGGAGTTACTCAATTACATTTATTTAGTTTTCTTATGCAGAAAGTCCCTTGCTTTTACATATTCATTTAAAACACTGCTAAGTTGGCCTGTTTTTCAGCCCATGTGAGCCAATCTGGTGAGTATACCTGGATCTTTCTGTTATACTGTTATTATAGGATCCCAGACAACTTAATCTTGAGTAGGTACAAAGGTGTACAATATTGAACTGAATATAAATGACTCCTTGGCATTTAGAAAATGTATTTACATTGAAAATGCATTAACAATCCAAATAATACAACCAAACACAAACAAGCAAAAGCCTCTAAGGTCTATGTGTGTGAGGCTGCTATATAACAGGAATTTTGGTTAAGTGATATTCTAATTAGCTGATACTCTTTCTAATACTAATACTAATAATGTGCTCACTCATTCATTCATTCATTCATTCATTCATTCATTCATTCATAGAATAGCAATTGGCAGGAGCCATCCCAGGTAAGTGAGATGTACCAATAAACAAAACATAAAAATAAATATCCCACCCTCACAGAGCTTACATTCCTATAGAGGGGGAAAAACCACCCATGTAGTAAAGTGTATACTAGCTGTTATTGGGGATGGAGAAGGACATGGAAAATCAGGGTTTGGAGGAATATGGATCACAATTTTAAACAGGTGGTCAGGGAGGCCACCTTGAGAACATGGTCCTTGAGCCAAGAACTGAGATGAGGGGTATGCCAGCCTTGTGTCCATCAGGGGAGAGCACAGTGGGCAGAGGGGACAGTACACAGGACCCCAAATGGAATGAGTCTTGGCCCAAAAGAATAAAGTGGAAGGAAGAAGGGAAGTGAGGGCAACACATGTAAGTTGGGGCAATCAATCATGTATGTGTTAGAGTGTGTACTATGATTGGCATCCTCCCCTTAACCTTGATTTCTGTCAAGAGCTGCTAGTGCCACTCATCTGAAACACCATGAGATTTCCCACAGATCAAAATCAAGGGCCAGTTACTAGAGGGCAAGGACACTTTCATTAATGAGAACAATTACAATGGCACGTCTGCAGGAAAATGCTATAAATGAAACAAGGGAGAGTTGGGGAGACAGATCAATAGATAAGCGCTTGCTGCACAAGCATGAGGACCTGAGTTCCGATCCCCAGAACACACGCAAATCTGGACATGGTAGGGTATGTCTGCAATCCCAACACTTTATGGTGAGATGAGATGTGGAGACAGAAGAATTTGTGATGCTTGTGAACCAGCCAGCCTGGAGACACGGCAGGAAACAAGACATCCTGTCTCAAACAAGGTAGAAGGAAACACCCACACCTAAATTCATACACACACACACACACACACACACACACACACACACACACACACACTTAGTGAAAAAAAACCAATCATTATTATTATTTATTATTATTATCATTATTTTAAGCGGTCCATTACATAGCCCTGGCTTGCCTGGAACTCACTATGTAGACCAGGCTGGCCTTAAACTCATAGAGAAATGTCTGCCTCTGCCTCCCAAGTGCTGGGATTAAAGGTGTGTGCCACCATGCTTGGCAATACTTCATGTTTTACTCGCTGACCTCACCTCTAAATGCTCTACCAGTTCAAGTCTATAAGGTAGGATGACGTTGCATCCACCACAATGTTAGTATAACTGAATGAACTTATTAGTCAAAGCCAACCACAAACAGCCTTGAAAATAACCCTTTCCCTTCCCAGCAGCTTCCAGTCATCCTGACCAAAAATGTGAGATTTACTTCTAGATTTTGTATCTTAACTACATTAAATTAAACTTCTTTTAGTCATTCAAAAGCTAGGCTTAAACATAAGTGAAGAAAGTGTGCCTATCTTGAAAGCAAATAGTTATAACCTATACATACAAAGAGTTCTTTGATTTAGTCTAGCTATACTTAAGAAAGGAATTACTCAGAAAGGAGCTCTTATCTGCTAATGACTGTCAACGTGAAAATACATGGTGTTGGTTATTTCAGCTACAGAATGTCAAGAACTGAATGATCAAGCATTAGGTTACAAAGTTTAAAAGTTAATACGCAGCACACAGTACTTACATTAGTGCCTTAAGCAGATAAATTAAATTGCAACATGTCTCTTAAGCAGTCATTGAACAAGCAAGACGAGAAATAAATTGAGTTCCACATCGGCCTTTATGGCATCTAACAACTGTGTCTGTCAACACACAGATCCTTTTCACTGTCAATTCAACACACATTTTGCAGACCTTGGGCCTGCAATTATTTCATTTCCTTTCTTGGAAATGTAATTTCCACTTACTTTTGGAGAATAAAAGGCAGACAAAAGGAGGAAGGAGTTGCAGCATTTTCTGATTAAGATTATCCGTGTAAAATGGTGACGAGAGGAAAAAAAAATCTATACACACACGCTGAAGCATTTCTCAGAAACTAACTTGTCTCCGCCAAATTGCTTTTGTGTCTGGATATTGGTTCAAATGCAGCCAGATTGCTGATGTCAAATTAGGTGTTAAACAAATTTAATAGGAATGATGAAGAATGAATATAGATCATCTTTCTGTGAAAACTGTGCAAATGACTCGCCTCAAAGAAAGGAAACCCATGACTGTAGGAGAAAATGTGCTTTCAGAAAAACACAATGAAATTAAATAAAACTGTAAATCAGCAAAAAAAAAAAAAAGTCCATTCATTCCCAAAGAGGATGGCGGGGGGGACAAGGGGGGATGCAAGACAGGAAGAAAATACCAGTTGGCAAAAATAGATCCAAATTGAATTTCAATTTCATTTGTCCAGGTTTCACCTTTTAAGCTAAGACAGTTAAAGCTACAGAAAAAAAAAAAAAAAAAAAGGGGGGGGGGTCTTTCTTTCTCTCCGACAGAACAGGAAATCAGAGGTTTAATTAACTGTGATTACAATATTCGGCTGATCTGATTTGTCTCACCTCTTCCTTTTCTTTAAGTGACAATCTAGCTGACATCCTGGCAAGAGAATTAAAGCACAAGTGTAGACTAATTTCAAATGGAGCTTGCCATTGTTATAAAACAAATTGATCCTCCACTAGACCGGTCTGCAACACCTTCAATAGCAGGATTAACCCTGACAGAGTGCCACTTAGAAGCCGATCTCTATAGATGACTCTTGATGTAGTATGTTTTCATTCTTAGGGCAGAGCAGTATGAAGGCACATCTTTCACTGAGGACCAGAAAATGGGGTGCTGCAAAAGTAGCCTCTGAAGGACTCTGAAAGATCTAGTACCTTCTTCAGCTACCAAGAGTGATAACCTACGCCTTTCACTTTGAAAGAGCTAAGTGTCTTCTGATGTAGACGAAAGTATCAGTCAGGTCAATTCTTTGTGTAGAAGGAGAACCTGATGACTGGATGGTTGAGGTGGCATGATACCTGCTTTGGATCTGAATGAATCCATTGGCTCGAAGGAAGGAAGAGGAAGGTTGATAAGCCAAATCAAAGTCTCTTTGAAGAGCAACAAACCAAAGAAACACGCCAGTCATTACAGATTCGTCTATATACTACTTAATAAAGAGCATCGTTACTTACTGAAATGTAACCTTGGAACTTGTGCATCCTTCCAATTTACGGGGCCCTTCACCTGGCTCAGGTGTTAGGGGGCACGGGCTGTTGAATTCTGCCTCCAGAGTTTTCTTGTTCAAGGCTGTTTTTGTTACACTGGATACAGAACCCAACACTGGCATGGATTTGGACTCTGAGGTGGCTAATATCCCGGAAGGACCTTAAAACCAAACACATACCTCAAGTTTAATCATTTTGTGTGATGTTTTTTAATATGGTACTGAAAAAACAGATTAGCTGAAAATCCCGGAGAAAGTGAAAAGGCCAAGTTGGTTAAAACCATTTCAAGAGCATGGTAAAAAACAAGTCCCAATTGTAAATCTGCTCTGCTTTGGGGTTCCTCTGCCTTTCAATACGCCTGGACCACGCTGAGAAATTGTGTGCAGACCTTTAAGAGGCCCACAAAATCCCAGGCCACATTTCCCTCACTGACTGGTCCTCAGCAATACTGCAATTGTGAAAACTCTTTTCTTCTCCCCCAATATGGCTTTCTGACAGCCCTGCTTGAACCATTTCGCCTCTCAAGAGTTAATTCTTCCAAAAACTCAGCTCTGCATTTAAACAGAAAGTGGACCAATGTCAAAAGGCTCTTTCTAAAAGGCCCATGAAGGCGTCTTGAGCATTAAACAGCTTTTATGAACATTTTCATTTTAATGTGACTGAGAAGTAAGTGGATTTATTGCCTCTTAAAAATACAGACACAAGATTATAAAAATTAAGTGGCAAAGAGTTTGGCTATTTACCTTTTTGGTCTTTGCTACTCTTTGGGACAGGATTTAATGACTACAATAGGGCTTGTTACTGAAATTATTGGCACAGCAATCTAGAAATCCTGGGTTAAAACTAAGTCTCTTTGTGAATTTTCTGTCTTTATGTAGAAAGTCTATCCTAGGTAGTTTGTCTCAACGTAAGCTTTAAGTGTATCTTTCCTAAAACTTCAGAAAAAATAATGCTCTTAACAGAGACTAAGTCACAAATACGCATATTAAATAATGTCAAAATGAAGTTGAAGGACAACCTTGGACTCAGGATTCTATTCTTTTTAAAAAATATATATTTTTTTAAATTGTATATGTATGAGTGTTTTGCCTGCATGTACGTAAGTGCAACTGTGTCATGCAATGTCCACAGTGATCAGAAGAGGATGTCGGATCCCCTGGAACTAGGGTTACAGACCATTGTTAGCCACCATGTGGGTGCTGGACCCAGGTCCTCTGTAAGAAAAGCCAGTGCTCTTAACCGCTGGGCCATCTCTCCATCCCAGGGGCACTCGACTCCTAAGGAAATGTTAGGAGGTTGCAAATATGTTTCTGTTGGTACAGTGTTTGCATAGCATGCATGAAGTCCTGGGTTTGATATCCAGTACTGCATAAACTGGGCATGGTGGTGCACACCTGTAACCCCAGCTCTTATGAGGTGGAGACAAGAGGATCAGAAGTTCATGGTTGTCCTTGGATGTATATCAAGTTTAAGGTCACCACGGACTATGTGAGACTAGAAAGAAAAATGTGTGTGTGTGTGTGTGTGTGTGTGTGTGAGTGTGAGTGTGTGAGACAGAGAGAGAGAGAGAGAGAGAGAGAGAGAGAAAGCATCTCTCGGGTTGCTATTATATAATCCCAAATCCAGCTGATCCCTGACAGTTACTATTTAGCTCAGGAGTTTGATCCCTGACAGTTACTATTTAGCTCAGGAGTTTTATTCTTACATTTGACATTAGATATGTCTGGAAAACCTATGTAAGAGGGGCTGAAAAGTTGTTTGGCCATTCTATTGGATTACTCTCTTAGCCTAACTCTGTGTGAGAGACGCAGAGCCCCCTCTGGTCTGGTGACTGTCACAGTCCATAGAGCACTGGTGTACAACTTCCTTATTTCATGTGTACCATCTGGACAGGAATATCACTGAATATTCTGCTTACAAAGTCCTTTATCAAGTTACTTTAACCAGCTACATCAAGTTTCGTGTTGTATGGGGATATGGAAGTCAAGAGAGAAGGGCAGAAAAATCAAGAAAAGCAGCTCCAGAAAACAGATATGAAGTTGAATTCAAGGTCTGCTTCAGCTCAGCTCTGTCTTGCCCTTGATAACTACTGACTCCAGCACTAGACAGCTTTCAGCAATCTGTCCTTCTCAGAAGGTGAGATTGCTTTCTGAATACACCAATGCCTGCTGCTTCTTTCTGCAACTGAAGTAATTAAAACAGAGAGCAGTGGGCTCAGCTACAGCCCATGTTTTCCTTATATACAAAACAAAAAAGAGGAAGGCACAATGTTTGAGTTATCACTGCATCCTGCGTTTTCTAAAAATCTCTTGCTTTTCTTTGGCATGTCAGTTTAGCAGGCCACAAGACTAGGTGGAGAAAGGGAACATCAGCTCACCCTAGAAGGCAAACTCTTAGCAAGACAGTGCCTACAGGGGCTGGAAAGACGGCTCAGCAGTTAAGAACACTGGTTGTTCTTGCGGAAGACCAGGATTCAAATCCCAGCACCCACATGGCAGCTAATAACTGTCCGTAACTCCAGTTCCAGGGGATCCGATAGCCTCTTCTGTCCTCCGAGGGCACTGCATGATATAGGTGCACTTACCTACATGCAGGCACATAAAATAAAAAAAATAATAAAATTTAAAAAAAAAAAGAGTGCCTACAGTGCATCCTGGCCTGTAGGGCAGTTGCCCACTAGCCTGGGGCTATACCTGCAACATCTAGGCAGCTTCCTGCAGTCTATTCCCTCCACTGGCTTCCTCTATTATTTCCCATCAGCCTTAGTATGTGGGAGCAATCTCACAGACCCAAGTGTGATGAGGCTCAAACCTGTCCCTCACTCATCTCTGTCATTTCCTTCCTGCCATGTATGTGCCAGGCTTCCTTAGTATCGTCCCTTGTCATCTGCACTTTGTTCTTCCATAACTTTTGGAGAAAAACTCACATGATAAATAAATACATCTTCTAGTGCAGTTCTGGGGAACTGTGTGGCCTACTGGGGATAAAACAGCGTGTTTGTTTTTGTTTTTGTTTTTGTTTTATGATTAGAGCAAGCTTTTCAGTTTGCATGTTCGCTTTTTTCCTTGGCCATTAAGAAGCTCAAAGGAAGTTTCTGCTCAATTAGGAATCACTTCCTCAGTATGGGCTTCCTGTCCACTTTACCAGACAGATCTTACTTCTCTGATCATCTATTGATAAAAAGTGTGTTTGAGATAGGGTCACATGTAGCTCAGGCTGTCCTTCAACTCACTATGTAGCTGAGGATGACCTCGAATTCCTGATCCTTCTGTCTCTGTTTCCCAAGTGCTGAGATTACAGGTATGTGCCAGCACGCCCTGGTTATGTGGTGCTGGGGATGGAGCCCAGGCAGGCACACTACCAACTGAGCTACATTCCCAGCCCTTCTGAATTTTTAACTTCCCTTGAAGGGGGCAATGAATACTTGTACAATGGTGGAATATAAAGAAATGAAAGACCCTCGCCGTGTTTCTGAAATGTGTTCCTGTCTCTGCTTTTGGAAGCGTTCTTATTTCTGTATTTACTAAAATGAGAGGCTCCCTCAGTTCTACTGAAGATTAACTGTGAAGCAGGGAGGGTCACACACATTTGACTAAATTCATGAATGAAAGAATGTTTCTGGAGAAATGAGAAGGTCTGAGGCAAACCAAGGAGCGTAAATGCCAGTGTGCTGAAGTGTCAACCACTAAAGCCTGAAGAACAGCCTCACCTGCAGAGTCCTTCAGAGGGAATGCTGGGAAGGCTGGCTCAGGCACTGCGGACGTCACCAAAGGGATTAATTTCCCTCTCAAGTTATTTGTGGGGTGGGGGGTAGGAGAGAGAGTGATGAAACAGGCCTGTGTCGGGTGATATTATTAGAATCGGATGACCCAACTAAAAACTGAACAGCTTTTCAATATTTTATTTTTATTTTATGTGTATGAGTGCATTGCCTGGATGTATGTGTCATGCAATGCCCTCGGAGGTCAGAAGAGGGCACTGGATCCCCTGAACTGGAGTTACATGGTTGTTAGCCACCATGTAGGTGCTAACTGAACCCAGGTCCTCTGCAAGTGCAGTCAGTGCTCTTAACTGCTGAGCCATTTCTCCAGCACCACAGCTGTTTTTTTTTTTTTTTTAAAGAAAACAGAGGCTCTGTGTATGTGTGTGTGTGCATGTTTGTGGGGGAAGGGTGGGTATGCACGTGTTTGTGTATAGAAGCCAGAGGACCACCTCAGGTGTCACTCCTCAGATACCATCCTCCTTGTTTTGAGATAGGGTCTCTTACTGTCCTGCAGCTAAAGTTACATGGGATGGCTAGTAAGTCCCAGAGACCCACTTGTCTCTACCTCATTCATGCTGGGATTACAAATCCAATATACTATCATGTCCAGATTTTTAAAATTTATTTTTATTGTATGTGTATGAGTGTTTTGCCTGCGTGTATATAATTGCACCCATGTCATGCAGTGCCTGTGGAGGTCAGAAGAGGGTGTTGGATCCCTGGAATTAAAGTTATGGATGGTTGTTAGTTGCCATGTGGGTGCTGGGGACTGAACCCAGGTCCTCTGGAAGAGCAGCCAGCACTCTTAACTGCTGAGTCAGATTTCTTTTTTAAACATGGGTTCTAGGGAATAAACTTGGTCTCTCATGTTTGTAAGATAATTACCTTACTATCACCCTAGACTGCCCATATGTTTATAAAGAAATTTGGCTGATATCTGTCTAATTTTTATTCGAGGAGCCTATTTGTTTGATCATCGGAATCCACTGTGAAAACTAGCAATTTCAGCCAGACATGGTGGATCATGCCTATAATGCCTGCCCTAGAAGCCAAAGCAGGAAGATTGCTGGGAATTCAAGGTCAGCCTGGGCTACACAGCAAGACCCTGTCTCTAAAACAGTCAAACCAAATCCTAACAACATAAAGTTGGTCAACAGGACTCAATATTTTGCAAATTTCAAGAGCTATAGTGGACTACGTGAGACCAGGCCTTGTCTAAAAACTTCAGCCTAGTATCTTCGTTCCTGATTATTGGTTTTCCTTTACTGGAGTTTTTCAGAGCTAGCCTCCTAGTCAGCCCTGAGAGGAAAATCTCATAAAGGTTTCTGCTAATTTCATGATCAAGCTCATGAAAACAACAGAAGCCATTCGAGCTTGGGCCTCGTTCTGAGGTACACTGAGAGCTGGTGGCAAAGCTGGCGTTTCTTACTCAGCTGGTTCACAGGTTTATCAACGAACGGTGTAAAGAATAAAGCCTTCTCTACATTTGTAACTGATGTTTGATTCCCACCAAAACTACCACTCTTCGAGCCAGGCCGAATGGGAAGCACTGTGCATGTTCTGGCTTACTTCATCTTAAAAGTAATCCTATGAAATAGGATTACTCGCTCTACACACGCAGAAACTGGACACAACATTGAATAGGTCTAGGGACTAACAACTAGCCAATGACTGAGGTGGGATTCAAACTCAAGAGGTCTGATTTCAGAGCCTCCATATGACGTTATATTGTTGACAGAATCCATTCTGACAAGGAGGGGCTCATGAGGCCCCACCCCTCCCTGAGGAGCGATCAGAAGTTAAAGGTGGGGGGGGGCATTTTCCTCATTGGTATAGCCAATGGTAAGTTGCTCCTGTAAACAACTCCTCACTAAATGATCCTGAAAACTGTAATAAAACTCATTGGTTCACAAAGAGAGAGAGAGAGAGAGAGAGAGACAGAGAGAGAGAGAGAACACGAAAGTAGAAAATGGACTAGTTGGAGCAAGAAAGGGGATCAGTGACAGAGAGTGGACAAGAGAGGTCATATGGGAGTGAATATAATGAAAATATTTTATATAGATGTATGAAAACGTCATCATGAAACTCATTATATATAATTAACATATGCTAATAAAAAATCCATCCTGCATGTGTCTTTTTATTACAAAGGATCTCACATTAAACAAATCAGATCTCTAACTGCTTGATTAACTACAAATAAAGATACCATAGATAAAAATATGTTAGAGTTCTCAGGGAGTATCCAGAAACACTCTTTGCCCAGCCAATACTTCTCACTCACATTAAGAAAAATAAACATCTTAATGATCATTTCTGAAAGATGATTTAAAAAGGACCCAAGGGAAGAAGTCTCAGAGGGAAAGAAAGCTGTGGAGAATTCAAACCAGCTTACTACTGCTATCTGCTTCTGCGGTCACCTTTCTGCGACGTAAAATCCTTTCTAACTCAGTTTCACTGTTCTCAGGGTCAAGGGATTTTAAGCTTCTTGAACTAGTGGATTTGTTAAGTGTCCCCTAAAGCAAAAACAAAACAAAAAGAAAAAGGTTAATATTCAAAATAATATAAAAAGCAAACCAATAAAACATTGCCAGAATTTGAACAGAATTAGGAAACAAAACAAATTACACACACAAATATCTACATGAGTTCTTTTTTAATGTGCGCATGCATCTTCGATGGTGCAAAGTGTTGGCTCATTCAAGGAGATGCTGCTGACCATGGAGACACTAGCTTTGTATCACAAGACCAGAACAAGAGCACCTGTCGGTGAGCTATGAAGGCCAGTAGTGGGAAGATACTTGTCCATCGATGATGAAGATGCTGATGTGTGCCAATGAAGGACAGAATGAGTGCACTTCACTCACCTTGAAAGGGCATCTTGACACAGCAGCCATGGACTACTGAGCACAAATCCTTGTGGTGCTGAAAAACCATGTAGCTGGTTGTCAAAGAAGAGACTAACCCTTGGCCGCACACCTGGTGGCACTGGTGTGGCTGCAATGGAACCACATAATGGACTCCTGTGGGCGACCTAAAGAAGGACCGCACAGCACACACCTTGACATGAGTGTGGAAGAGGAAGGCTGCGGTCCACAGGGAAGAGTCCACTTCCATACTCTTAATAGAGGAGAATATGAATGTATTATATTCATATTATATGAATATGTATATGAATGCCCAGAAGACACTGCGAGCAATGAGAGGCCATCAAGCTGGGCTCCTGCTGAAGCTGACCTTGGCTTCCAAGAAGACAAAGACCATGGTTATGATTCCCCATTTAGACCCCTCTGGAAGTGTGTGACTGAGGGAGAGTGGTTTTCCACCTACTTCTCCAGTCAACTATCTGAACAGAACACTGGTGGTATATTTCTCCTCATATGTAAGGATCTAGCTTTCAGTATCACAGGCTTTTCATAAACAATGCCCACTTTCTTTGAACTGCTCCTCCTCAGCAGCAGTGTAGACATGGAACTAGAGGCCAGGCCAGAGAACCATGATCTCCTGATGGGGCAAACAAGATCCTCAGGTCTAGTGATAACCCCGTGCCCTGGTCAGAAGGCAGCTTTGGTTCAGAGGCTCATGAGAGCTCCAGCCTTCGTAGTAGCTGAATCCACTGAGGGCTTGTCTTACTCCTTCCCCTTCCCTGCTTCCAGTCTCTAGAAGATTCTCAACACCCTATTGATTAGAAATGGTGATGGCTAGTTCTTTAGACTATAAAGCAACAAAAAATTCCTTGTAAAAATCAGATGCTTACAGATCTCATACAGGCAAAGTTATTACAATGTTTTATTTAAAACAGGTCCCCATCACCCACTGCTTAAAGCTATGGAGAAGGAGCAGAGGAGACTAATAAGATTAGGAGACTGGTGGCTGTCAGCTATATCACTAACTGATGTTTGAAATGCTTGGGGAAGGCTCATCATGTCATCAGGCATGTGACACTTTTCCCCCTTGGAAGTACTACTCTTTGGTTTTCATTCATTGCAAAGATTTGTAAAATGTACGAAAAGGAAAATTACATGTGTAATATTATGGTTTATTTACTGTTGTAGGTCTGTTATCTACTTGTTGAAGAAAAATAGGCATGATTTGTCGCTGACAATTAAAGAGCATAATGATCACTTTACTACACCTGAAAAGAATGTGGCAGAACAACTATCCCCATGTCATTTGTATTTTAAAAGTTAGTAAACTTACCATTTGCAACACCTGTCAACAGCTATGTGAAAAACTATGGCCTTCACTATTAAAATAACTTATAAAATGGTAAAGGTCACATTGTTTGAATCTCAAGGCCACTATGTGGTTTTTCCCAATGGTTGTTGGGGAAGAGTATAGCTCTCTTTTGTTGGAGAATTTATCTTTCACAAGATGCTCTAACTTTGCATTTAGATAACAGTACTATTTTCCCCCAAACTCTGACTGTGAGAAGCATTGCACAGGATGCCAAAGGAAGCTGCTTTCCAGGTTCTAACCTCAGAATCTGGAACTTTGTTTACTGACTGGTATGGTTGACTCAGCTAATACAAAAGTAAACTTTCACTGTCCTAACACTGAAATTTAGATCTCATTTAGAACTCTCTGGAAGTTATGTGACCAAAGGAGGGCAGTGACAATGACAGAACTGTTGCACAACTCAGCTGAAATGACAAAGAGCTCAGCTAATAAAATGCCGGGATCATCTCTCACCTCCCTGTATCTTATCACTACATCTTCTCTGATCAGAAACTGACAAAGAATTCAAACCTAGTGAGCCACAGGGCTGGGGCCAGGTCCCACAGTAAGTCAGAAATAGGCCTGGATTTTGAACTTAGATCAAATTCTCAAACAGTCGTTTCTACTTCAAATGACCACTGTCACTCGACAATCTTAGTCCCCAAGTTCCTTAAATGTTAGAAATGTCATCACGCTGACTAACTGCCAGGTAACAAAATAAACCATTCCACAACCCCTGCATCCTTTGAGAAACTAAAGATGTTTGAAAAAGAGCCAGAAGGGAATTCATACAGAGTTACTTTTGTCCCTCTGACCTACAGAAGAGACTTTCAGATTAATTTGTATCTGCTTATTTTATGGAAATGACCAGCATCTCACAGAGTGGCTTTTAAATGACAGTGAACCTCACTCAGGAGATTCCATTTCCTAAACCTCAAAAGTTTTGTGACCACAAGAAATAGCCTGTATATTATGTTACATCTATCAAATACGCAGCTTGAAAAATTAGGGCATGCAGGTTTGCAAAAATGAGCTCATTCAGCACTAATACTTTAAAAATTGGCTTGAAAGTTACAAAATTCAAAACAGAATAAGGTTTTCCAACTGCCCCCAACCATATATTAGTTTCCAACTTCTATCTGCAAGCCTGGGATCACTTGCATTTCTAGCAAACTGTGCCCCCCTCCACCCCAGTTTCTTCCTGTTTTCTGTACTTTAGATCTGAACACCCATTTCTTGGTATTTCCTGTGACAGGTGCTTACTTTCCACCTCAGAGTAAAACTCTAGTCTTTTTATAGTTTTTAATATTTGCTTCCCACATGTCATGATCAGGAGGCTGGTATCCTGTGCTTTCCCGGGCCTGGCTCTAATAATCCTCACATTTGCAACTCCAGCAGGAAGTACTTAGCACCTGGAAGTAAACTGCACTGGAGGCTCACTTCCTGTCCCAGGAAAATGGGCCTGGTTTCTCAGGACTGTCCACTGGGAGCTACAAATAAAATAGTCTACCATCTTTCAAAATAAACCCCTATGTGGTAGAGAAGAGTTACTATTTCGCAAAGAAGGATAGGGGAGAGGATCATGAATTCCACTTTAAAAGAAAAAAAAAAAAAAAACTTTAATTCAAAGAGATAATATTGCCAGAATGGTAACTGTTAGTGATACCTGAATGCCAGCTAAGGCAGGGAGATCTATATAAGGCCAGACCTTGAGCAAGGGTGGGGCCACTGGAAAGAAATTTTAGTTTAAAAAATTCTTAAGTCAAATAATTTCACAAATTATCTACATGATGTGGCACAAAATTACAGTGAACATGCTATTAATGTAGCTCAGTGATAGAGTACTTGCTCAGCATATGTGAGGCCCTGGGACAAGGATACACAGACACACAGACACACAGACACACACACACACACACACACACACACACACACACACACACACACGATGCTGAACTCATCAAACTTGCTACCAACCAGCCTTATCTGCTATAAGAGGATTTGTTTTTCTTCATAATCAAGTATTAGCTCAACTAGATGCCTGATTTTCTTAATAAACTAAGTTTTTTAACAAATTTATCACATTGAGTATGACTGACTCTCAGGGACAGGAGAACTGCTCTTCAGCCTCACATAGGATCCCAGGGACATCTTCATGTACACAAATTAGCATTTGAAAAGGGACTGTCGGGGGAGGCTCCTCACAGAACCCTGGAAGACAAAATCTTCCCATCAAAGAATCCCTTAGATAATAGTCACGTCTTTTCTCAGGGGTTCTAATCCTGAATTCTGTAGGTAGACCACCACTGTTAGCCAGTGATACACCTCTCTTCAGGGCTAATCCCACTCACTTAAAACTAAAGCAAACTAATTAAGCCATTCTGTGTGAACTCTACTGTTTAAAGACATGCTTGATGAAAATAATTTTGTTTACCATCATTATGTGGATGTCTACATGCAATGCATAATCAGCCCAGTAACAACAAACAGGGGAGTGTTTAGTCCTGCACCTCCGCCCCCATGTTTGTTGACTTACTGTGCATAATAACTAGGATTGGACTGGAATGGGGTATGAAAATAGAGCTCTGTCTGAAGCACTTCCTACGTGAGGCAATTGTCTCTGTCAGTGACTGCTGGAGAGGGCAGCGGCTGGCAATTCTGCTGGCCACAGCTTGCACTTTGGAAAAGAGAACAGGGCTAGAGGTGGGCATTATGTATGTTCTCCAGCAGACACAAGTACCTTTAGAAAATGAAATTAGTAACATAAAGAAAGGACTTTTATGGTGCTGGGGATGTAGTTCATTTGCTAGAATGCTTACCGAGCAGGCTCAAAGCCTTGGGATTGATTCCTAGCATGCCATAAAATGGGTTTGGTGGTACACGCCTATAATCCCAGTATTTAGGAGGCAGAGGCAGGAGAATCAGTTCAAGTTCCAAGCGATACACACTCTCTCACCCCCAAAAGGGGACTTTCATTTGATCAAATTTCTTATCAAATAATTGCTTCTACTATGAGGAAAAAGCAGATGATGACCCAGAGAGCAGTATTTTTGGTGAAGGAACTCAAATTTACATGTAAGTAGCAAGAATTACACTTTTGTGTTTCAAAGTACACACGATCCATCTGTGACAGCTCAGCTGTCAAAATCAGGTTCTGATCCTCACATATGGCCAGACACTTGACCTTCTGGCCGCTTTGCCAGGACTGGAGAGCAAGAATGGAAAACGCAGACTTGTTGAGTGTGATCACTCCTTCAGAACAGAATCAGCAATGTGGTATTTCACACACGTGCTGGAGGCATCCGTGAGCACAATCCAGTAAACTGTCTGAAGAAATGGCGTTTACAGTAAATGGAAATAAAACATACCAAACCTGATTATTCACATGAAAACAGTAAAACACATTCTCTCAGTGTCCCATGACATAAACAAAAAGCCAATATCTGTTCTTACCAGTATTCCCTTCAGCTCATTCACTGCGCTTTCAGAGCCTTTTGAAGAGTCTGGCTACAATTTTAAAAAGGAAAGGGAAAAATAAGAAAGAATTACTGAGTCATTCGGTTTTAAAAGACTAAATATTTTTCCATTTTTAATTACATTTTTCAAATGTATTCATTGTGTGTGTGTGTGTGTGTGTGTGTGTGCACACGCACACATGCATGTCATGGCACATTTTTTTGTGTGTGTGTGTGTGTGTGTGTGTGTGTGTGTGCACGCGCACACATGCATGTCATGGCATATGTGTGGAGGTCAGAGGACAACTTGTGGGAGACTTTTGTCTCCTTCCACCATGTAGGCTCTAGGAATCCAGCACAGGTCACCAGGCTGGGTGGCAAGTGCCTTTACCCATTGATCCATCTTACCAGCCCAAACTAAAGATTTTTATGTGCTAAGTGGTTAGTGATATGTATGGCTGTATGCTTTGGGGAGGGGGGGTAAGATGTGTGTATGTCTGCATGTATGTGCAGACATGCGCACCTATGGGCATGTGGAGGCCAGAGGAAGATGTCGGGTGCCCTCCTCTACGGCTCCTCACTTTATTTTCTTGAGACAAGGTCTCTCGCTGAGCCTGGAGCTTGCTGTTTCTTGGCAAGGCTGGGAGTCAGCAAACCTCAGTGATCCTCCAGTCTCTGCCCTCCTTACCCAGAGCTAGGGTTACAGTGCTGTGCAGCCATGCTTGTCTGGGTGCTGGGCATCCAAACTTAGGTCCTCATGCTTGTTACCCAAACTGAGCCATCTCTCCAGGCCCTGGCTCTAAACTTTGTAATAGGCTTTTTTTTTTTTTTCCTTAAGGTTTGGAAAAATGAAATTTTCGACAGGCTTGTGCTTCCAGGTGGCTGCAAAGCAGAAACTCAGCAGTATATATTCAAAGCAAGCAACTAGGGCTACCTCCTTCTAAGTATTTTGTTATCTTGTGGCTAACATCACAGATAGAAAGGACTTAGCAAATATCATATTTTAAAGGTTTGATTCCAAATTAATGATTAATTATTCTGAATTAATAACAAATGCTCCTACTGGCAGAGTTAGACATCTGCCAGCAAGGAGTAAGAGCAAAGAGCAAGTGGCAAACAAGGCGGGGTGGGGGGGGGTGCAGGGATGGCTCGTCTTGTTGGGGGGGTTGGTTCGGGGATAGCCCATCTTGTTCCATGAATTTCACAAGAGACCAAATCAGGAGAAAACACCCCCACGAAGGACTCAGCCCATAGAATGTTAGCTTTCCTAAGCAGTGAAGGGCCTCAGGACACGGCCCCAACCACCCCATCTCAAGAGCAAAGTTGGGTGTGAGGAAGATAGGCCTGACGGCAGGTGTTGGGAGCAAGCCCCATTTTCTGGCCACATGAAAAACAAAATAATAAAGACTGGGTAACCCCCGCCCATCCACAGAGTTTCTGTGGATCCCTCAGCTATATTCATGGAGGGCAAACTCAGTCTGGACCCTCAAGGAAAAGCAGCCCAGGCAAGGCCTCTGATTTCCCCTATGCCACCTTCACAAAGGACGGCGATGAGGAGAAAACTTGCAAGGCACAGTGATGACATCCTCAGGAACCTCTACGACCCAGAAAGCAGATACAGCGAGATTCACTCTCCTCAAGAAATGGGAGGAGATCAACACTCTGTCCTCTCAAAAACAGCAAAGAATAAGATCCCACTTCCAGGGCTGGGGAGAAGGCACAGCAGGTAAAAGCACTTACCCCCAAGCCTATCAACCTGAGTTCGATCCTCATGCCCCACACGATGGAAGGAGAAGACCAACTCCTTTTGACCCTCCCCACCCACACACACACAATGGAACACTCTCCACGTGCATACATGCTCACATGAATAAACATAATAATAAACATGTTTTAAAGATTCCATTTCCATTTTTAAAAATGAAGATAGAGAAAAAGCCAGGCTAAGACATTTAACTTTCATAGCCCAGGTTTTCTGTGAAACGAGCATTCCCTCAATATCAGTCAGAAGATCCAGGACAGTCATTTCAACCAGGCCAGCTCCACCTACACTATCAGGTGATTGGAAAATAGGACATCAAATTGGTATCCTCAAAGTGCATTTAGTTCTTGCAGGAAAACTGTTCATGTGACAATTACGACTTTTGGACCAATGCCCTGCCTAAAGGTGCACTCAAAAGTGCAGTCATGCCCTGGCACTGTCCTGCCTGCCAAAGTCTTCGAGAGCCTGACCCACATACTCTTAGACTGTGATGTTTTGGGACTGATGTACCGGGGAAGAGGTCTAGGCTCAAGCACGCAGTGACCACTCGAGGCAGAGGTTATGGGCCAGATCACTCAGGGCTACACTTGCGCAGTCTGATGGAGAGTCAGTGAAAACCCAGCTGTCTACTGATTCTTGCTCAGTTGTTTTTCAGATTTTGAGCTCACAATTAAATAAGGTGCAGTTGTAAGAGCAGACAGTGATATTCTGAAAATGGAAACAGCACGGAACATTGGTTACTTATGTTTTAAGATGCTTTTAATATTAACTAATCAATATTTTTCACTCCATTTTCCAGACCCCACATTTGGACACACTGTCATGTTTTGTTCCATTTCATCCTGACAACGGCCCCATTGAGTCACATAAAGTAGGGGCAGGCCCCAGCTGTAGAAGGAAAAGTGTAGGGAACCTGGAATAATGCCAGAGCCTCGGCTCCCTCAATATGATCTGTCACTCACTCACCTGATGCCAACACTGAAAGCATTCACAGGATTACCCCACCCAGCTCTTCCTGTCTTTAGAGATTCTGCCTCTTTTACTTAGAACTCTACTTTTAAACCACTGGTGCAGACAGACCTACATGGCATGGCTGTCTCCTAGGATGCTGAGTCTGCTCTTGGAGCGGAGCAAGGCTTTCTTCTTTCCAAGTCCAGCCCACCATGACCACTCCTGCTCTCCCTGGCTATCTTGCCTGCTGGTGATCAAGTGGCAACTTTAAAAGGCACCTCAGAACTTCTACCCAGCAGTTCTAACACGGAGTTCAAGAAGTTAAAGAGGAGCAGCCTTGGGACTGGGGAGATGACTAAGTAAAGTGTCTTGCAAATATGAGGACTTGATTTTGATCCCTAGAACCCACATTAAAAAAAAAAAAAAAAAAAGCTTGGTGTATAGCACAAGTTTATAATCCCAGTTCTGGGGAAGCAAAGAGGAAAATTCCTGGGGCTCACTGGTCAACCAGCCTAGCTTAAACAGCAAGCTCCAAGCCAGTAAGAGACCCTGTCTCAAATACACAAGGTGGACAGCATCCTGAGGAGCAACTCCTGGGGTTGTCCTCTGTCCCTCTCCCCCATGCTACATACACCCATAGACACATATGCACCTGCACACACAGCTAAACAGACAGATACACAGATAGCACAACAATCTCAAAAGGAAAAGAAAGCAAGCTGTAAAGTATGATGGACAAAGAAGGAGAAGAAATCTGTCCATATCTAACTAGTGTGTGGATAGAAAGGACATTTTCAAGAGAACTCTCAAAAACCGTTACCGGACCTATGTGAATGTGCCAGGCAGAAGGCAGGAGGAAGATCTGCGCTGGACTCTCAGCATGGATACCCTTGCTGTGCTAGTCAGGAGGCAGCTGCTGGAATACAGGCATCTCAGCCCACCCGTGCTATACTGCCTTAGTTCTCTCCAGCTGGTATTATGTGATTCCCCGACCCAAACTGAAGCCTTGGGAAAGCAAGGATGCTATCTGTTGCTCACTGCCTTATCCCCAGTGCCTACAGTAGTACTTGGCAGAAAAACAAACTCACACACACACACAAAAACACAAAACCAAAAATCAAAAAAAAAAACCCCAACCCAGTACTTGAGTAAATACGCAACAGAATCACAGAAGAGAACCAGGAATCCAAGAAAAGAACGGGAAGGGCAAGCGCTGATTTGTTGTTTGATATGACAGCTCACTTCTGGTATAACCGGGCACACTCTCCAAACTGAGGTTTGCCTCTGGTCCCAGAACCCCCTCGAAGCAGGTTCAAACCAAAGTGAAAGCTTTTTCGACATGTTAGCCTTTTCCTAAACCTTGGCAGTCAGGCTTGACGTAGCCTTCATCAAACTTCAAACACCTGCATTAAAAGAAGAAGGAAGTGTCCAAACGGAAGAGCACGTGTCTGCGCTTACCTTTGCCTTCAGTCTGGCTGTCTGGTTTACTGGTCTAAGATGAACCCCCTTTTTAATTCTATCCATCATCTCTTCCACTGCTTGCCTCTTTAGGTCTGTGACTTCCTCAGCTGTTCAAAGAACACAAAAAGCAATCATCTTAGGTTACAGGAAAACATCTAATTCCTCTCTCTGGTGACGTGGGGAGATTGTGCTGTGTAATTAATCACAATTTTTCAAACAGTCACAGAACAATAATTCACTATAGTTAACAGCCACCAGGTGGAAACACATTAAATAATGTATTTTTGAATAATAAAAAGTTTTATTAGAATCCTAGGAATTTCAATAATCTAGGTCAAGCTTACATGTAGCACAGAAATTAATACTGTCCCATCTATGAAAAACAAAATAGATTGTTTATCGATTAATCCAAGAACAAACTTAGATGCCACCAAGTATTTCATTTTATTTATTTATTTGCGTATATGGCATATGCTCAGGTGTGTGCATGTCTGTGCATATGTATAGAACCCAGAGGAGCGTGCTGGGTGTTCAGTATTATCACTCCCCACCTTGTTCCTTTCAGACAGGGTCTCTCCTAAACCTGGGGTCAGCAAGCTCCATGATCCTCCTGTCTCTGTCCCTTACTTTGTGTCTGTGCCTCCCACAATGGTGGGATTACAAGCATAAGTATGGCCCTGCCCAGTTTTTAGGTGAGTGCTGGAGATCTGAACTCAGGTCCTCATGCTTGTGTGGCAAGTGCTCTTACCCAATGAGCTATCTCTCCAGCCTCCTCTAGGTCCTTTAAAATATGTAACTTTGTGGGACTGGAGAGATGGCTCCATGGTTAAGAACACTGGCTGCTCTGGCAGAAGACCTGGGTTTGATTCCCAGCACCCACATGGCAGCCGACAACCATCCATAACTCCAGTTCCAGGGGAATTCAACACCCTCTTCTGACCTCTGCAGGCATTGCATGATACAGGTGCACTTACCTACATGCAGGCAATACACTCATACATATAAAATAGAAATAATAAATAAAATATTTAGGGGCTGGAGAGATAGCTCAGTGGTTAAGAACACTGGTTGTTCTTGCAGAAGACCTGGGTTCAAATCCCAGCACCCACGTGGCAGCTAACAACGGTCCGTAACTCCAGTTCCTGGGGAGCCAACAGCCTCTTCTGTCTTCTGTGGGCATTGCACGACACGTGCACTTACCTACATGCAGGCAATACACTCATACGCATAAAATAAAAATAATAAATAAAATGTTAAAAAATAAAATATCTTAAAAAATGCAACTTTGTACCTTTCCCAAATTATTCATCTTTGCCTCAAAAATGTTTTTACAAGCTAGAATATATTCTATATCAAAGAAAGCTGGCCAAAGTTTATCTGAAAAAAAGAGATCACAGAGATCCATAGTTAAGAGATGAAGAACAAATAGGTAAAATCTATTTTTATACTGCAGTCTTCTATCCGGGAATCACACAGAAAGGAAACATTTAAGAAAACCCTTTCAAGTCTTTTTCGGTTGTTCATGTTAAATAAAGAAAACATACATCTAGCAATAACTGAAATAATTAAATGTGATTACAAATTTCAACCTTCAGGGGTGGAGGTGTTGCTCAGGGGTAAAGCACTTACATAGCATGCATGACAAAACTACTTATCTATTGTCTAACTTCACGGTGTGTGTGTGTGTGTGTGTGTGTGTGTGTGTGTGTGTGTGTGTGGTATGTGTGTGTGGTTACATGCATGTGAAGGTCAGAGTAGGATGGCAGGTGTCTCCCTCCACTGCTCTCCGTCTTTCTTACTGATTTGAGGAGACGGTCTCTCACTAAACTTGAAACTTGCTGTTATAGCAAGGCTGACTGATCAGGAAGTTGCTCTTGGGATTTACTTGTCTCTGTCCCAGCAATCCAGGGGTTACAGGCGCTTGAAAGCATGCCTGGTGCTTTTTAAAACATGGGTGCTAGGAATTTGAACTCAGCTCCTCGTGTTTGCAAAGTGAGCACTCTTACCCACTGCCATCTTCTTAGCCCCTATTGTCTAACCTCTACCTTGTTTTGTTGCAAAAACAAATCATTAAAGCTGTTATGATGTACAGCAATTAGATCACTGCAACTGAGTTAAACTTCAACCTGTTGACCAAATTAAACTTGTTTTACTCAGAGAATAGCTTTTTAGAACACTTATCACCATTAATGTGCATCTAGACCTTTGTTTATCTCCACTGAACTCACTTCAGTCAATATATCTAAGTTTAATTATCTATAAGGGCCTTCTCATTTGCATGTTTAGTAGAGCACACGTTGCCTGGCATGTGAATCTGCCTATTGATTTGAAGTTTGGGCTGTTTATCGATTGCATTTTTACTGATCAAGTAGAAATGACTAAGCCCCCAAAGGCTGCCTTCAAGAAGCAGGAGACCAAAAGTGTATCCCAAAACTAATTAGCACTAGTGTCAGGCTTTGCACTAAAGAGGCCTAACTCATGGCCTCTCTCTTGAGGAGACTTCACATGGACCTTGAGTAGCCATTTCTCATCTATGAGTACCTGAGGGAGAGAGTCTAGAAGCTTCCATTATCTTCCCCTCTGTAGCACTAATGGTTACTGCTCCATTCACATTGTAACCTGACTTTAAATTAAGTTCCATCATCCTCAGAAGCTCCTGAAAAGCTGAGAATTAAAATGTCTCAGTATTCAACATGCTTCAGGGCCAAAAGTCAAAAAAAGCACCTTCTGCCAAGTGTATTAGTTATTTTTCTTACCGCTGTGACAAAATATCTGAAAAAAGCAACTTATGGGAGGAAGGGTTTATTCTGGCTCATGGTTTGAGGGCACAGGTACGGCGGGGAAGGCATGGCGGCAGGGGTGTGAGGCAGCTGGTCACCCTGCATCAGCCAGGAAGCAGACAGAGATGAATGCAGGTGCTCAGCTTGCCTTCTCCTGTCTATGCAACCCAGGACCCCAGGCCATGGGATGGTACTGACCACATTTAGGGTGGGTATTCCCACCTCAGTTAACCTAATCCAGAAACTCCCTCACAGGCCTGCCCAGAGGTTTGTCTCCTAGGTAATTTCTAGATCCTGTCTAGATGACCATCAGTTTCAGCCATCACACAGGGAAAAACAGGAAACAAAATCATCAAAGTAAGAATTCATGTATGAGAAAATGAAAAGTGATAAATCCTTTGGGTTGATCAACCATGTGCCCTTAAGAAGCATTTGCGGGGCGGGAGTAGGGTCTCAGCTTATCCTGATGCCTCAAAAATATCTACAACAGGGCAGGCAAGAAATCCACTCACTCATTCACTCCCTCCCTCAGTGTTTGAATATCGACTGTACACTACAGTGTTTTCAGTGACACTGCTCAAAAGAAGGGGAGATAAAAATCTGGGTGTACCATTTAAACACCTGGCATGGGAGGTGGATTTATTCCTGGGAACTGAGGAAACAGCTTCAAAACACATTTGTGTAGGAAGTTGTTTTTTGTTTTTTCTAGAAAGGCCTGCCATTTTGAGAAAAACTAGGAAGAGCTGCCTGGCGAAAGGAACACCGCCTACAAACAGATTAGCGCTCTGCAAGGAATGACTGAAACCCAATTAAATGCACCATACAAAAACTAATTAAGGCAGACAGATGGAGAATTATGGTCCACACCATTCAAATCTGCTACAGCATCTAACAGCAGGAATTTAAAGTAGTCCCTTAGATTTGCTTGCCAGAATCATAGTGATAATTCAGAGAAGTGCCGCTATCTGTATTGTGTACAGATTATAAACCAGGCTTTAATTTCTCAGTCTTTTTTTCAAATGTAAAGGCTTAATTGGTCTTAAGGAAAGGAAATCACTCTTATCAGATTCCCTGCTCGGGTGCAAAACAAGGGCAACGCTGGGCTAGCTGAACAAGCTTTCTCCCTCTTACCGACCCTGTTTTTTGAAAGAGTAAAAAGCAATCTATATGAACTTCTGAACTATTAAGCAGTTCTAATAAACTGGCAAGAATCACCTACAGAGTGCTCGTGGTATGTTTTGTAATTCTTTCTGCAATCACACAGTTGGTAATTGTCTCACAAAAGCATGTAATCAGGGGGACAATGGAAATATGCAGGATGCTGGAGATTAAAGAAAAGGGACAAATGAAGACAACAGGTCTAATGTTATTGAACTGCCACGGGAAAATAAAATCAAAGGTTCTTTGAGTTTGTGCTTCAAGGTCAGTCTTGGATCAGAAAGCTACATATAATTAATTGGGGCTTAAATTTTAAGACCCACTTGAAAAATAACTTAGCTCTTAAAAAAAAAAAAGAGACTCACAGATGAAATCATCACCTTGTTAATCAAATCCCCTGTGGTTACCCAGAAGAAACAAAATTTCTTTTTACTTCTGTTTTGCTAATGTTGTTTAAAAAAGCCATTAAAAAACAAATTACCCTCTGTCATCATGATGTAAAAAATATCCAGAGTTTACTACGTTCGAATACGTTTAAATCTGACCTAATGTCATATAGAAATTCCTTGATTACAATATTGCAAGACCCCAGCTCCACCCCCTCCATGAGGACTCTCTTTGCCTCTCCCAAAGGGAGGTTTGGGGAAGAGTTGCAGAAATAGCTCAGTGGGTAAGAGCACTTGCTGTGCAAGCATGAGGAACTGAGTTCAAATTCCCAGTACCCATGTAAATAATTAAGCATAGCTGTAGGTGCCTGTAACTCCAGTACTGGGCGGGAGGAGCACAAACAGGAAGCTTGTAGGAGCTTGCTGGCTACCAGTCTAGCTCCAGGTTGAGTGAGAGACCCTGTCTCAAGGGAATGTGGTGAAAAATGATAGAGCGGGATACCTGATGTCCTCTTCTGGCCTCCGAGCACACACAGGCATGTGCATCTGCACACACACACACACACACACACACACACGTGCAAACATTACCCACATATATCACACATTTATTACATACCACACACACAGACATACACATCATCATCATCATTATCATCATCATCATGTACTCAGAGGTCAAACTGGAATACCCAGAAATGACTCAAACACCAGAGTCCAGAGCGGAAGCTGGGAACAGGCCATTAAATCCTTAAGGCAATGAAATTTAAAGCAAAAATGCTATAGAATACAGGTGTCCCAGTTCACTTTAATTGTCAAACTGACACAGTCTAGAGTCATCCAAGAAGGGATTTTCAGTTGAGGAAGTTCCCAGATCAGACTGGCCTGTGGGCATGTCTATGAGGGATTATCTTGATTGCTAATTGATGGAGGAGGGCCCAGTGCACTGTGAGTGGCACCATTCCCTGGGCAGGTGGTCCTGGGCTGTTAAGCCTGAGCCTTCCAGCAAGCCAGCGAGCAGCATTCTTCCATGGTTTCTGCTTCAATGTCCTGCCCTGACCTCCCTCAGTGATGGACTGTTGCCTGTAAGCCGAAATAAACTCTCTTCCTGAAGCTGCTTTTGGTCACAGCAACAGAAATCAAACTAGAGCAACAAGCCAATGACCTGCTTGTGTGGGTTGTTAGTATTACTATTTAATAAACAGGTGGTGGAGGAGGAGGATCCTGGACCACTCAGCATGGAGGATGTAGAGTTCCAAGAGCATCTTGCAGAGAAGGCTCTGACTACAGGGACAGCAGGAAGGCAATCTAGAGTAAGGGCACACATCGAACCAGTGTATAGCAGGCCAGAGGTAGTGCTCCAGTCAGAGAGCAGGGAAGATAGAATGAGAAATGAGGAGGAAGCAAGAGCAGAGGACCATTGATAAGCAGAACACAGAATATGAGTTCTAATCTGATGGGGTGAGAAACACACACGTCCTAAGATATAGGTGGCTGACACGATTTGACCTACGACCTGAGAAAGTCACACTGCCAGTGAGATGAAAACAGTCAGACTAGAGCAGGAAACAGGATCCCAAAAGAACCTTACACCAATCTGGACTTGATCAGGCAAGCTCAGGAGTCTTAGTCACAGGTGCTAAGTGACCTGGTTGAGTCTAATTCGGGTTCCACAACATGCAGGCCAAAGGGGCCAAGAACTGGGTCAGCTCCAAGGCTCTGCTCCTCATGGCTATTACCCACTCAGTGCTGCCAACAGCTCTGCACAGGCTCTACATCAGCTACCCAGTGTCTCTGTTCAGTGGCTAGGCTCTCCTGCTTCTGGTCCCTCTCCTCACACAGTTCTCTAGATCTCTATTTCTGGTGGTTCCCAGAGGCTGTGCATTCGACCTCCCTAGCTAGTTCTGAATCCATCCATCTTTCTATCTGGACAGCTGCTACCCAGTCTCAGCCTGCTCATCTACAATGATAACATTCCTCTGTTTGTCTGTCATGTCTCCCCCCCAATCTGTTCTTGTCCTCCTATACCCACACAGCAGCCATAGCAATTTTTAGAAAAGATAAATCTCACCATATCCCTGCTTCAAACTTCTACTGCTCTGAAAAACCCCAGAATTTTGATCACAGCTTCCAGAACCCGGCTCCCGCTCACCTCTTAGCCCTATTTCCCTGCTCCTGAGTTGTTCTTTTAGTTTCCTGATACACAAAGCTCCTTCCCTACTTCAGACCTTTTGAACCTACCACTGTGCTGTGTGGGCAGCTTTGACCCCAAATACCCCCACCCTGATGTTCCAAATACATGACCACTCAACTTGCAGACCACCTTCTGACTCCAGCAGTTCACCATCAGGCTCTCTTAGAAACATGTGCTCTTCCTCCATAGTATTTCCCAACAACTGCATGAAACAATTCCACATCTACTTGGCTGGTCTTGTTTACATCATGTCTAATGACATTAGAATGTGACTGCAAGACCTTGTCTTTCCAGCATACAACACTACAGTATTACTCAGTGTGAGTACTTGATGAGAGCTCAACTCACTATCACTGTTAAGAAGTTTTTCCCCAAACCTCCCATTTAGAATTACGTCCTCCCCATTATTCCCCCAAGGACCTGTTCCTTAACGAAAGCCTAATTCTTTTTCTTTTAAAAAAATATTTTATTTATTATTTTTATACATATGAATGGATTGTCTACATGTAAGTGCACCTGTGTTGTGCAATGCCCACAGAGGTAAGAGGAGGATGCTGGATTCCCCTGAAACTGAGGTTACAGGTGGCAGTTATCTGCCACGTGGGTGCTGGGAATCAAACTCAGGCCCTCTGCAAGAGAAGACAGTGCTCTTAACCCCTAAGTCATCTCTCCAGCCCCAAAAGTCTAATTCTTAACATGCTTTCATTATAGCAACAGTGATGTGCCTACATTTTATCTTCTCTCAACAGTAAACTATAGGAAGGTACTGTCAGCTAGCTAGTTCAGCCTATAGCTTTTTTTTTAAGATTTATTTTTATTTTATGTGTATGTTTTGCCTACACATTTGTAAGTGTACCACATGTATTCCTGAACCTATGGAGGCCAGAAAAGGGCATCAGATCCCCTGGAAATGGAGTTACAGACAGTTGTTAGCTGCCACGTGGGTGCTGGGAACTGAGCCAGGGTCCTCTGCAAGAACAACCAGTGCTCCTAACTGCTGAGCCATCTCTCTAGCCTCCCAGTTGTTCTTTACACATCTCCTCCAACAACTGTTCAGAGTAAACGAGCTCAACAAACATGAATTCTTGAAAAGTTGTCCATCATCAACCACTTAGAAGAAACCAAACAGATACAACACTTACTTGTTTCTGGTTGAGTTGCCTTTTCTTTCTTAGCACCACTGCCACTGGGGTGGGATCGCTTCCGGATCATCGACATGAGGGATCTTTGGGAAGAAGACAAAGACCAAAAAGAGATTCCAGGTGGCCTTACTGTCCAACAGATAAAATAGATAGATTCAAAATGCTCCACGAAAACCCAGCTCTTCTGTAGTTGCTTGAATGTATAACTGGGATTTAAGCATCCTACCTTCCACTTTGAGTAACAGTATATTTTTTCATTACTCTACAGAAATGAAATATTTCATACCTTTCTATGTAAAACCAAATTGATCACTACAGAGGTGGGGCTGCTACCATCAATGCAATTCATAGACATTTATAAAGGAAAATGGATGCAGAAAAATTTCAATAGGCATATAGAAAACACAGAAATAGTTATCCATAGAAGTTCTAGTTATCTATGAAGTACATTTCAGAGACAGGGAAGGACGTGAGAAGTAGGGGTTGTTCCATATGAAGTACCAGTGTAGGGCTGGGAATGTGGCTCAGCGGCTGAGTTCTTGCCTAGCATGTATGAGTTCCTAGTTTAATCTCCAGCAGAGCAGTGTATGTCATCAGTAAACATGTACTTGTGAAACCTGGATTTACAAACATCTGAATCTGCATGGTACAGACCAAGCACCTGGGGATAAAGTATATCTAGACCACTGTCTCTCTATACCATGTTTTTCTGGGTTTTTTTTTGTTTTGTTTTGGTTTTTTTGTTTTTTGTTTTTTGTTTGAGGCAGGGTCTCCCTGTAGCCCCAGCTGGCCTGGAACTTGCTATGTAGACCAGGCTGGCCTCGATCTCACAGAGATCCATCTGCCTCTGCCTCCAGAGTACTAGGGTTAAAGACATGTGCCACCATGCCCAGCCACCCTATAGTTTTAAAATTGCACATAAAATCCAAATTATGACAAATTGGGCCACATTAAAAATTTTTTAAAAATATATGTATATTAAAATATGCTATGAGGAATAAAAAGACAAATTAACAAATAAAGGAGTTTTACAAATCAATGAAAAATGGTTAGCAACCCAATAAAAATGAAGAAAACTCTTCAATCACAATAAAGCAGGATGTCCAAATCTCCAATACACAAACAGAAAGGGTGATTACCTTTCTTAATTATCAGGCAAGTATGGTTAAATCCTCATTACTTACTTATAGAATCCGAAAAATAACTGAAGTCTGAAACCATTGACAATAAGGGCTGAGGAGTATTCAAACTGAAGAGGGCACAGAAATTGGCAGCTCTACCACGGAAAACTGTCTGGTATTGTCTTACAGAAGACACACAGAGCCATGAGCTGGGGATTCCACTACTACAGAAACACAAGTGCTTGTGTAACAGATACGTGTGCAAGAAATTTCACAGAGAATTTTCTACAGTTGCCCTAAACTAGGAATACTGCAAATGTCCATCAGCATCACAATGGCTAAGTAGGTTTTGATTGATGCATAAGTTGAGTGCAACTCAACTTCAACTACACTGTGTAACACAGAGAACCTTCCAGAATAATGTAGAGGAGAACAAGACACAAAGGATACCGGAAAATGCCAGCTATAGAAAGTTCAGAAACAGGCCATAAAGATGCTTATAGTAGGTTGGGAGTTGCTAGGGCTCAGAACATGATACTCCAAAGTAGAGCATGTTGCCATGCTGCTATTTAAACTGAAGATACTCAAACTCTCTTTCTTCCCTTCCATCTTCTACCTCTTATTTTCTGAGAAGCCAGAACTCTTCTGCCTCAGGGCAGGCCATGGGAATGGGAAGACTTACTCTAACCCCGCTTGCCTTTCTGCACAGGCTCTGGCCACACCCAAACTCCCTGATCACCTTGTTCCAGAGGATCTGGCCTCATAACTGAAGGAAAGGAATGCTACAGAGAGGCTAGAAGACTCTGAACCCAGGCCTCCTGGGATCCCCACATTCCACTAGCATTAGTGTTAGTATATATACTCCTTTGTCCAACAGCATTCAATACAGCTGTCACCAAACCTTGCCATAAAGTTTCCCTTGGTTCTTGGTCCTTCACTCTGAAGATTCCTGTGTCATTTAAAACTGCTGAGTAAAATGGGCTTTGAGGGGCTGGAGAGATGGCTTGGCAGTTAAAAGCATTTGGTATTCTTACAGAAGACCTGGATTTGGTTCCCAGCACACACAAGGTAGCTCGCAGCCATCTGCAACTCTAGTTCAGGGGATCTAATTCCCTCTTCTGACCTCTGCGGATTCTAGGCATACATGAACATAAACATTCATACACATAAAACAAAAATAAATACATCTTTTTTTTAAAAGTGGTCATGATTTTACCCTGTTAGCCTTTTTTTGCAGGAGCATCTGTCATGAAATTTGTAACACTGAAAAAACTTTTAAAGCAGGGAAATTATTACTAGAAAAGTCAACAGTGACCAGGGAGGGAGGCAGCTATGTTTGAGAAAGGATCCGCGGGATGAATAGTATTCTGCTTCTTGGTTTTTGGAGTGACTATGCTATAGATACTCATTTCATATCATTTCTAAATCATACGTAAGTTTGCACATGTCTGCTTATATAAAAACATTTCTCCATAAAATGTTTGCCAAAGGGCCAGTGAGATGGTTCAGTGGGTAAAAGTGCTTGTGGCACAAGTATGATGATTTGAATTCTACACTAGAGTCCATGGTGGAAACAGAGAACTAATTCCCAAAAGTTTCCCTCTGACCTCCACATATGCACCATGATGTATACGTGCGCGTGAGCCCACACACATACACGCGTACAATAATAATAAATAAAATCCAAAAATAAAAGTTTACTAAAAAAAGAGTGAAAAATGTTTTATTTTTTCAGCTGCATTATAAATGTTCCCACGTGGAAAATTCTAAATTGACAGAATACAACAAGCCCAAAGGAGGGTGAACTGGGAAGTGAAAATGAAAACAAATACTCAAAGAAAACTCTTAGAAATGGAACAGAAGAGAACAGAACAGAGAACAACCAATATTGCTATTTTTTATGGTGCTGGGGATCGAACCCAGGACCTCACACATACCTTGAGCTACATCCCCAGGCCATAATGTTTCTTAGTTATATAATTTTTAGGTTATTTTTTTCACTTCTACCTTTATCTATATTAATTAATCCTCTTTCTAACTGCCTTTTCGTAAAATTACCAAACACTCTAGGTCATCTCCTGAAAGAGCAGTGAAAAGCAGCGCACCATCTCACCCGGTGGCATTCCCACTGTCACCCCTGGGCCTCTGACCCCATCTACTTTAGTTTCTCTGGGCTCATAAAAGCCCAAAATGGAATTAAATTAATATTAATTTTTAAAAGTTAGACTTTCTAATTTATACAGAAGTTTGAAAAAAAGATCACATTTTTGTTCCTGATGCTGTAAGGAATAAAATATTGTAAACTTTATTTTTATTTTCCCATGCTATCAACTGACTGCCCGGAGGCTTCAATGTCTGCTTATCAGCACCAGTGTCAGGGTGGCCCAGGAGGATCTCACCAGAGGCCTCCTTTCACCTGATGCCACACTTAAACAAGCTCATCTCTGGGTGCTCTGAGAGCCTTATTGTATGCAAAGATGAGAAAGCGTGGACCTATTTGTACATATTTGTGCATGCATGAAATAGGAATACATATTCATTACTGCAAATCACCTAAGTGGATGAGAAAGTTAGCTTAAAGCCTATGTTGGTCACATATGGAACCTACAGGAGAATCTGTCATACTAAAAAAGGAAAAACTATCAAGATAGGGTTTATATTTTTGAAGAAATATACAGGATGGGGGCCACACAGACAAAATGACTGGAACGAAACTTCTGGGAACAGTGATCTAAGATTCCATTGGCCCACCATATCATGGATTCAGTGGAATGAGTAAAAGTTAAAAAGCAACTGTCCCTCCAAGATGGAACAATTCAGTGGTGAGTTTTCATTTTGCTCTTCTTCAAAGAAGCATTCAAATGTCAGCTTGACTGGGCTACGGAGTGTTCAGATATGTGACCAAACAGTATTACAGATGTTTATGTGGGTGTTTCAGGTAAGGAGAATATTTAAACCAGTAGATTAAAGAAAGCAGGATGTCGTCCTAGATGGGGATGGGCTTCATCCAGTCAGTTGAAAGCCTGACTTAACAAAGACGGGCAGTCAACATCAATTAGGGAAGAGTTTCTTCTACTTCTCCGCTTTCAAACTGGAACATCAGTTTTGGGGGTTTTTTGTGTTTGTTTTTCTGCTTTTGAACTTGAACTGCTACATCACTGCTTCTGGGCTGTCAGCCCTCAGAATGGAGCTATTCCACAGGTTCTCAGGCCTTTGGACTCGGCCTGAAACTACATCCAGCAGCTCTTCCTGGGCAGCCAGCTTGTTGACTCACTCTATAGATCTTGGGACTTATTGGCTCCATATTGACAGGAGTTAATTCCCTGTAATGCATCTATAGAGTCCCACATCACAAAACAACAGCTCAAAGACAGGTCACATATATGGCGGTGTCCCCGAAGGGTTTGTCACCTAGTAAGTTGACAGGCATCTTAATTTGTGTAAGTATACACTATGGTATTCACATAATGGAATAGACAAATAACCCATTTCTTAGACGTAGTCCCATGGTTAAGCAACACATGACTGTGTTCGTATGTATCCATCTTTATCTCCTTACACATCCTGTGTGCTCCATCCCTCTCTCTGATCTCTCTCCCAATGAGCCATGCTGCACTATCTCATTTCTCTAATAAAATGTGACCCAGTTACAACTCCTTCCCCTGTCCTCTCAGTCAAGGAGTGAAAAGGAGAAAAAAGAAGCAACAAAACCACCAGGGAAGCCACAGGCTCGAGTCCTTCTGTCACGTCTGCACGTTCACTTCTATGATCTATGTTAGAATAAAACAAATGGCTCAGGAACAAAGTTGGAAAAGCATGGGTGGTGGTGGTTCAGTGTCCAGGGAAACTCAACAGATATGCAAATATATCTTTGACAAGAAAGTTTTTCATCAAAATTTTTTCTCCAAAAAGTTATACTATTTAAATGCATCTTAAAAGCCATTCATATGATTCAATGAAATTTTTCTTTGAAGAGTCTTATAACAGAGTTCATGGTTGTGACATCTATAGTCTTGATTCATATATCCACTTCTCAGTAGAACTATAAAGTATTCTTTGTGGGGGAAATTCTATTTAGGTTATACTTTAAATTCTAGGGGCTCTCAGAATTTCCGAGGCTAAAAATTAAAGGCCAACAGCAAGACTGTAATTGCTTTTTAATAGTTCTCCTTTCTCATAGATGTGACCTTTCTTATCAGCTCAAAATTCTAGACCTCAGAGAAAGATCAAAGTGACGAATTTCCCATTTTAAATGTCACCTTCAGAATATCTCCTATAGATTTAGCTACCCAGGAGAGAGAGAATTGAAAATACCTGAAATTCTTTCAATTGACTCTTAGACTGGATCACGTGTAAAAATTATTTAACCTTAACTACTTCAATGGCTTAAAGTAGATTATGTCATACCTGACTCAGTAAGGAAAAGTAATGAGACTCTTTTTCAAAAGCAAAGTCCCATTTCCACAGTCGTGTGGGAGGAACATGCTACATTCTATTCAGATGAATCAGCTAAGGTGCAAAGCAGGAATAAATGGCTTCTCTGTGTGAGAGGATTAAACAAATCACATGAGTTAATGAAAGCTAACACATCTAGCAAAAGTTTAAATGCCATTTGTTCAAGAATAAATTATTCAAAGGCAGCTAACATCATGACATGAGGAGGTAGGCAGTCACTAAAATAATGCCGTGTCTTCTCTAATTCTGGAGAGTGGAAACTAGAACCACAAATAAGGTAAAATACAACTCTAGATCTCTCTAGAATGCACTGTGTTCAAGGAAGGCAAGGAGGTTTCAGAAGTGAACTCCTGGACTCCTGCCCCAAGAACTTAAACATTATTTTTTCTTCTGGAAGCTTCCACTCTCAGAAGTACTAAAGGCTTAACTATGAAGATAAGAATGAAAAATAATTAGTACTTTTAATTTAATTACCAGTTTGTAACAATTAGTAAGTTCAAGCTTTAACTTAGGACTTTTAAAAGTGAATAAACTAGAGCCTTCAAGTCAAATCAGGAATAGAAAAGGATTAAGACATTCTGGAGAAGTAAAATTTCTTGAAGAAGGAGTCTGGAGAGATGGCTCAGTGGTTAAAAACACTGGTTGCTCTTGCAAAAGACCTGGGTTTGAATCCCAGCACCCACATGGCAGCTAACAACTGTCCATAACTCCAGTCCCAGGGGATCTGGCGGCCTCTTCTGGCCTCTGCGGGCATTGCATGACACGGGTGCGCTTACCTACGTGCAGGCAATACATGCATACACATAAAATTTTAAAAATGAGTTGAAGGGAATTCTAGTGTCAGAAAGTGAAATTTTTAAATTGTTTCTAAGATGAAAAACAAGAATGTCTAGTTTCCAAATTTTGGAACATTACCACAGAATTTCAAGTTCTACAACAGAAGGGCATAAAGGCCACGAGAATTTCCGTGAAAGATGTTTTCTAAGACCCACATTACATTAAAACACTGCTGTCTGGGAAATGTTCTTATACTTCTTACTGCCCTTCTGGTGATGAATCTATGCTGGTATTGAAAAGGAAGGTTAGGTCTAGGGATGTAGCCGAGTTGGCAGAACATTTGCCTAGCATGCATGAAGCCCTGAGTTTGATTCCCAGCACTGTATAAACTGGGCATAGCTGCACAGGTCCCTAATCCCATCACAGTCACTAGGGAAGTGGAGTCTGGAGGATCAGAAATTCAAGATCATCCTCAGCTACAGAGTGAGTTCAAGGCCAGCCTGGGATACTTGAGACTTTGTCTCAGAAAATAAAGAATAGATTAGCATAAAGGTCAGGGTCAAGGACAGGAGTAAGCAGGCAGCAGCTGGGTCCTCTGCTGGTACTTACCGGATAGGATTGGGGGGTGGAGGAGGGAGTGGAGGGGGTGGAGGAGGCGGGGGAGGCACAGAATTCTCAGACTGATTCACTCGCTTCTGGAGTTCATCCACTGTACAGGAAGCAAGCAGAGAGAGCCGATATAAACAACTACACATTGTTCACACAAGTAATAGAAAAACACAGCCTCTCTCAAAATCAATGATTAAGGCACACATAAAAATTTCCATAGGAAATGGCAGACTTGTCAAACTTTTCCTATTAGTCTATCACTAACATTGGAGAGGGGCTTTCCATCTGTTAAAAGACACTGCAACTATTTCCTGTCTAGACAACCCTGGAAACGAAAGGAGAACTCAAGACAATGGCTAATGGGTGGGAAGTAAGATTGTGTAGGTTGAAGAACTATGTAGCAATGGCGAATACTACTCAAACACTAAGAAACTGTTCATACTAGACTTTAAAAGCCTATGGACCAAGAGCTACTTTTAAAGATGGCATTTTGTAATGAATTTTAATAGTTGCATATTTACCTCCTACACTTAATTTCCTTTAAAACCAGCAAATACTAGAGTCCCAGATTTTTAACTAGACCCATGTTCTTAAATGTCTATAACATGTCTTAAATGTCTCTTATTTGGAGAAATGTAACTTATTCATTCAAGTCACCAATAAGACAGGCATTTATTAAGCACCAACAACATGGATGGGTCTGTGTACAGTAGTGATACAGAGCATAGTCCTTGACTTCAAGGAGCTCAATTTAAACTTATATCACAGGGCTGGAAGTGTAGCTCACTGGTAGAGCGCTTACCCAGCAGGCACAAAGCCCTGGATTCAATCCCTGGTACCACCAAAAGAAAGAAAAAGATATTATTGCCTAATGGGTGACAGATACTAAATACTGCCTGCACATCAGGGCCACTTGCTCTGTTCATCACTAGCTACGCTTTTACTTCAACCCTTAGACAGGCAATGTAGGCTAGGACCACACTCTCAACACCAAGACTCAATCCATGCATACGCATCTGTCTCATCAAAGGGATTCTCTCCATTGGTTTGGTTTTTTGACACAAGGTCTCTCACAGAACCTGAAATCCACCATTTCAGCTAGACTACATGGCCAACAAGTTCCCAGGAACCACCTGTCTCTACCCCATTCCTCCCAATATTGGAATTTCAGGTGTATGCCACCACACCTGAGTTTACATGGGTGCTGGGGATCTGAACTTAGGTCTTCATGCTTATATACCAAGCACTTTACACATTGAGCCATCATTCCAGCTCTCTTACCCCTTCCCGCCTTTATGAGAAAGGGTCTCATATAGCCAAGCTAGTTTCAAACTTACAATATAGCTAGGGATGACCTTGAACTCCTGATCCTCCTACCTCCACCTCCCACAAGCTGAGATTACATTCATGTGCCACCAGAACTAGTAAAGCATGATTTCTTTTCTTCTGCTTTTCTTTTCTTTTTCTTAAGACTTATTTTGTCTATAGGTAAGTATGTGCACCATGTGTATACAGTGTCCACAGAGGCCAGAAGAGGGCATCAGATCCCCTGGAACTGTAGTTACAGAGGATTGTTAGCCACCATGTGGAAGCTTAGAACTGAATCTGGAACTTCTGCAACAGCAGCCAGTGCTCTTTACCACTGAGCCATCTCTCCAACCCAATACCAATTGATTTTGGTATCCCACAATAGGACTGGGTGCAAACACAGCAAATTCTAAATAAACTAATTCAAACTAGAATTTCAAATATCTCTAAATTCTGCCACTTCTATTACTATAAAGACAGCTCTGGCTATAGGCTATTTTGATAGTCACTAAAAAGAATGGACTATTTCTTAATTTGGGGGTTGATTTTTTTTTAAAAAAAGCAAATTGTAATCAGTTTTCATTGTGAATTTCTTAAGAAGTGTTGAAAGTTTTTGAAAGGAGAAAAGCCCACATGGTTCTTCTGCACAGATTTCAAAATTCTAGTATAAAATTAACGGAAAATATGTGAGTTGAATATTGAGGCTGTTATAAAGGGAAACCTACCTGCCTCCTTAAATTACCCACCTCCTCACAGAGACTTAGACTTACTCCTGCACTGTAATCCAGCTCACATGTTTCTGCAAGCTTTCCAGCACTGAATGAATAAATCCTTTGATTTAAGCATCCCTGGTGTTTTAAAAGTTTTCCATTTAATATATATATTGTTGCCCATTTCATTGTTAGGTGTGGCATTGAAAGTATTATTTCATATGTATAATTAGACCCCAAAGATGAAGGGCGCATGAACACCAAAGACAAAGGTATTATTTAAAAAAAAAAAAGTTTAATTCTTTTTGAAAAAGCACTCCAAAATGAATAAAGTAAGTGCTTAATGATCGCTCCTCTGTAAAGGCTGGAGAAATGCTGACACTTTTGGTCCTTCCCATCTTTGGGTTTGAAAAAGGAAGCTGACAAAGGCTCTATGTCCAAAAATTAAGTTGCAATACTTACTCACTTAATGACAGAGGCTGATCTGCTGAACTGCAACAGTTAGAAATGAAGAACTTAAAAAACAAATCTGGGGTTTGTGGAAAGAGCTCAGTCAGTAATGTGCTTGCTGCACAGACCTGAGGATCCACATTGGACCCCGCCAAAATTCGTGTGGTGGCATGTGCTTATAATCTCAGCTCTGTCCAAGTGGACACAGGTGGATCCCTCGGGCTGACTGGTCAGCAATTCTAACTTACTGGATCTGATAAGATCTAGTGAGCCCCAGATCCTAGTGAGAGATTCTATCTCCAAAAAACAAGGTGGTAGCTGGGTGTAGTCATGCATGCTTTTAATCTAAGCACTTGGGAGGCAGAGGCAAGTGGATCTCTGTGGGTTTGAGGCCAATCTGGCCCACATAGAGTCCCAGGCCAGCCAGGACTACACAGTGGAAGTCTGTCTCAAAAAAAAAATCAGGTGTGAAGGCATACACCTTTAGCCCCAGCACTTGAGAGGCAGAGGTGGGTGGATTTCTGCGAGATCAAAGCCAGGCTGGTCTACATAGTGAGTTCTAGGCCAGCTGGGGCTACAGGAAACCCGTCTCAAAATAAATTAAGTAAAAATTTAAAAATTGAAAAAAAAAGAAACTAATGTGGTTGTCCCCGAGCAATGACAACTAAGGCTGACCATCCAAACACCCACACACACGTAAGCGTGAACGCAAACATACGCACAGAAATCAATCAATAAACCTGGGTATTTCTCTATAGCATTCAACCCTAACCACATGGCAGGCTTTGTCCTGGGCCTGAGAGGACACAGGGGCCCCTCAGCGCTCTTACCGGAATGCTTTAGGTTTCTGGCCTTCTCCTCTGAGCTCTGGTATTTCAGCTCCAGCTCCTTCTTGTCTTCTTCCAGAAGCTCCAACTGCTGCTTCAGGTTATGGATCTCTTTGTGCAGGGCTTCGTTTTCCAGCTGTTCCTCCAACTCTTTGACCTGTAAGTTTTACACAACTTAAATTGAGTGACAAGTTTTCTTTTGTTGCTGGAAAGGAGAAAAAACGAATGTTCTCATTTGATTCCCTCGTCACAGCAGAAAGGCTCCAATTCATCTTTGCCAAAATCATGTGCCTGATTTTTCATGCAGATTCTGGGTACAAATAATATAGGCACAGGTTACCTGTCTCGTTTACTATCAGTTTTACTGAGGACTCACTTACAGACCAGAAATTTTTTAACATGAGTCACAAAGGTTAAATAAGATCTAAAAATTATTTTAAACATTTCCATACCCATTTTTGAGACAAAAGTTTAGATGGCATTTTACAAGACCCCAAGGGCCTACAGAGGGAGAGAAAGTGGGAGAAGGAAAGGCCTGTTGATCCAGTGATAGTACTTTAAAAGATTTAGTTATCTTATGCCTGGTGTGGTGGTACATGCCTTTAATCTCAGTACTTGGGAGGTAGAGACAGGTGAGGTCAGCCAGGTCTCCATAGCAAGTTTCAGGCTAGCTAGGGCTATAGGGAGACCCTGTCTCAAAAAAGACCAAAAAGATTTTGATTTAGTTATCTTTATCTTATGTGTATGTGTTCTGTTTGCATGTACATTTGTGCACCACATGCATGCCTGGAACTGGAATTAGAGACAGTAGTTAGCTGCCATGTGGGTGTTGGGAACCAAATCCAGGTTCTCTGCAAAAGCAGCAAGTGCTTTAACTGCTAAGCCATCTCTCTAGGCCCAGTAACAGCACTCTTACATATTTGTCTAAATAAATACTCAGAAGCTGGGGATATGTCTCAGTGCTAGAATGTTTATTTAGTATGTGCAAGGCCCTAGATTGAGTTCCTAGCACCAAAAACCAACCAATCAACCACCACCAACAAAAACAAACTCTCAGAAAAATGTACAAATATATTCACTGAAATGTTTTGAGAAGCTGAGAATAAGCTAAATGTCCACCAATATGATTGATTAAATAGATTATAATGAAACACTATGTAGTCATGTAAAACCATATAGTCCAATATATATTGGTATGAGAAGACATATTACCAACTGAAAAAAGTAACAAAAAGTTATGCACAGTACAATTCCATTTAAACAATACACACACACATACACCCACACCATAAAACTATTTACAAAAAGTTTAGAGATGCAAAAAAGGATGCATCTTGGATTCTTAGGTAATCTTAATTTTCTTTTACTGATTTTACATTTCAAAAAATGTGTTTATTATAAGGAACATATGTTACTTTTGTAACTGCAAAAGCAAAGCAACTGTGTTTTAAAGACTGTTGAATCTGTAAGAGAATTTACACCCAAGTAAGAAATATATTAAGCCATACACATGAAGAATTATGCATAACTGCACAGAGTATGTAGCAGTCCTGGAACTAGCAACTGCTCTAGTTTCAGTCCCAGTTTTTGCCTAATCTTTAGTACCTCTACCCTTTGCCAGTCAGAAACAATGAAAACAACTCAGTCCTAGACTCCAGTTCAATTCAGGCCCCAGACCTGCGTTTACTAACAGAGTTAATTCCAAATGTAGTTGGTTGTTTTCAGAACCAAAAGTTAAATTTTAACACAAGCTAAACACACACACATTCTTTTTTCTCTTTATCTGAACAGGCGATTCCTGGACCTAGGGACAGAAAAAAGAAATTCTTTCCCTTCAGGCTTGGGGAGCAGTCACTGTCACTGCCTGTCAGTGCACAGGCTCTCTGTATCAATAACTCCCACTGAGGAAAGAGAAACCCAGCTCTATGTCACCACTAGCTGTTTTAAAAATATCAGAACTGGTAAGGATTACGCCTCAGAACCTCAGCTCTGAAGCATGGAGAGGTGAAAACCACCCTCAGCTAACGGCCTCCCTCATGAACAAGGTCCATTGTGAGGAACCACAAACACTGCTTTTCCCAGAGTGGTTCTTGCAAGTCTTTCTTCTACCTCCTCGTCTTCTCCCCCCTTGCTCTATCTCACCTATCACAATGGCAGGCCTCTCTGCCTGGCATGGAGGTACCTGGGCAGTGTCAGCTGGAAGAGCTCTACTCGTGCAAACTGAAATAAGCACTGTGAAGTCCTTAAACGCAGACATTTGCACAAGTTTGCATGGTCACAAATTTTCTCCAAGCAAACAATTACTACCTACATGGCTTTTTTCTTTCCCTCCCTCTCAAAATATGATACTATGTCTTCCAGCAACCTCTGTGAGACCAACACAGTCTCTCCTAAGTCCATTCCATCTCTGAAAACCACAATCTCTCAAAAAGAAAAAAAAGCCCTTCTAGACTATGAACTTTCCAAGACATTTCAAGTCCTATCTCTTTTCCTTGCATCTCCAAGGTTACTCTTCAATGAAAGTCTTTAAAATTATTATAAAGACTCTATAAGAGTGTGTTATAAATCTTATCTGGACAGTACATTAAATTTATTTACAATTTATTTATTTATTTTTATGTGTATCTGTTTTGTCTTCATGTATGTAAGTATATCATTTGCATGCAATGCCCTTGGAGGCCAGAAGGCAGCATCAGATTCCCTGGAACTGGAGTTCTGGATGGTTAAACGCCATGTGGGTGCTGAGAACTTCAGTTCAGTCAGTGCTCTTAACTGCTGAACCATCTCTCCAGCCCAATACCAATTTATTTGATAGCTATTAGTTTCTCAAAGACAATTAGGACTTGGTAAGCAAGGTGAAATATGGAACTTCCCAAGGCCACACTGGTTCCTCTTGTCTTAGCATGTCATTGTATGTGTGGGCATGTCTGTGTGTATGTCTGACTCCAGTATGAATTGGATCACCTTCTGTTGATGCTGGATTCGCTCTTCTTCAAGTTGATGGATGAGTTTTGCATTTTCATCTAAAGCTTTCAAAAGCTTCTGGTCAGGGACAGCACTCTGAAGCAGAAGGTGGCTTTGTCTCTTTAGCTTGTTTTGTTCGATGAACATCTACAAGAGTTAATTACAAAAACATATAAACCAACTGAGCCCATGCAGCTCCCCGACTCCAACTTGAACAGAAATGGGTGCCTGACTTGCATATAGTCTTCAACGCCTTAATCCCTACCCCAGGCATTGTGTGTGTACAATCATTTAATTCTATACCTCACTTTTGAATGCTTTCTTACTGCTTTAACATACAATAACAGAGTAGTGGCAAATATGTTATCAACAAAATAAAATGCCTCTACTAAATATTTCTATGATTTTTTTTGTTTTGGTCCTTTTGAGACTGGGTCTCCCTCTAGCCCCAGCTGGCCTGGCACTTACTACATAGACCGGACTGGCCTCAATCTCACAGAGATCCACCTGCCTCTGCCTCCCAAGTGCTGGGACTAAAGGTATGTGCCACCACACCCAGCTACTATGTTTTATTTTAATCCTTGCATAAATCTTATGAGCTAATTGTTCCCACTGTGAATCAGTAGCCTTTATTAATCACTGTGATATGGTAGAAATCACTTTACATCCACCATATCTTTTAGTACTTAGAACAACAATGTTAAATAGATACTATGAGCATTCCATTTTACTTGATAAGGAAACTGGGGCTCGTAGAGAACAAATGAGGGGTAAAAACAGAACTTAAACACTTATTTGTTTCATTTTCCATCCCAAACTCTCAGCACCCACCTCAGCTCCTCTGCTATTTATTAGATTTTCTGTCTTGTTTTAGACCATTTAGTTTTTTCCAGTGATGAAAATAGTTCACAATAGGAGGGTAAAGGAGAGAAGGGAGGTACTGTGGCAATATCTGTGAACATTTTAAGTAATTTATGAGTATTACTCATATATTTCTCCTATGTCAACATGACTGAAAACAGCATTATTTCCTATTCATCTGTTATTTCTTTTTCTTCATCACCATACCAAGTTGGCTGGTGGGTGATTCCAAACATGACCTATTTTACAAACTCTGACATCTCTGAATAGGAGAGCTTCATATTTTCAGGTTCTTAATGGTATTTTAAATTGATACTGTAGCTTAATTATAAGATCTGTACAGTAAAACAATTTGTTATAGGGCATATGTATGTTACTCTGTTCAGCAACGTCATTCGCTGCATAACACAAAAAGTCAATGAATGAAACTCAGGAGACACACACACACACACACACACACACACACACACACACACAATTCTGTCAATCTCCACTCAGAAAGATTAGAGCTTTAATGATTTAGACAATCCGTAAACTTAATTGCTGGTCAGTATTGGTTTCCAAGTCAAGATCATCATGAATACACTTTAAAAAAAACACTCACATGTTCTTCTCTATGTTTTTCTAGAAGGAGGAAAAAACAGCTAGAAGGGAGCTAGGGAGATGACTCAGTCAGAGAGTGCCGGCTTCACAAGGACCTGAGTTTGGATCCTCAGCATCGTGTAAAAACCAGGCATGGTCTCCAGCATCTAGGACCGTAGCACTGGGAGGCCAAGATGGGTGAATCCCTGGAGCTCCATGGCCAGCCAGTCCAGCCAATCAGTGAGCTTCAGGTTCAATGAAAGATCTTGCCTCGGAAACTCAGGTAAAAGTAATAGAGGAAGACAGTTAACATTGACTTCCTCCAAACTCATGTGCATCTGCACATAAATGTATCCTTCCACTAACCCCCCCCACACACACAATTAGCTAGCAGCTTTAGTTCCATACCAATGTAGGGATTTACTAAACTACTATAATGTTGTGCAAAATTAAGATACACTGCCAACTCTAACAGGTGAAACACATTTTTGAAAAGATTTTACTTTTATTGGGAGCTGGAGAGATGGCTTAGCGGTTAAGAACACTGAATGTTCCTGCAGAAGACTCTGGTTCAAATCCCAGCCAGCACCCACATGGCAGCTAACACCTCTTCTGACCTCTGTGGCACTGTATGACATGGGTGCACTTACCTACATGTAGGCAATACACACATACACATAAAATAAAAATATTTTTTAAAAAAGATTTTTATTTATGTGTGTCTGTGTATGTTTATGTGCAAGTGGGCAGGGGGGGATGCCCTTGGAAACCAGAAGCGGGTATTGCATTCCCTGGAGCTGGAGTCACAGGTGGTTGTGAGCTGCCTTATGTGGGTGCTGGGAACTGAACTCAAGTCCTCTGCAGGAGAGCAGTAAGTACTCTTAACTACTGAGCCATTTGTCCAGTCCCATGAAATTTTGCATAGTTCAGGAAATCCAACTCTTCCTACATCACTTCCTCTCTGTAAAATAAGAGGCACTGCCAGGTGTGGTGGCATATGCCTTTAGTCCCAGCACTGTGGAGAGGCAGGGGCAGGTGGATCTCTGTGAGTTCAAAGCCAGCCTGGTCTACATAGTGAGTTCCAGGCCAGTTGGGGCTGCAGGGAGACCCTGTCTCAAAAAAGACATACACACAAAAAAAGAGTGAGAGGCACAGAGATGGCTGCCTGTACGTGTGCACATGAACACAGCTATTCGGCCATGGACACAGAGAGCCTCCAAAAGAAGTGCGTAATCAGTAACTCATCGTAGTGTTTTGAATTTAGGCCAGTATATTTGGATTAACATTATTATTACTGCAATAAGTTTTAGACATTTTTCTCTATTAACACTTATAGTCGGGGTCTCTTGCCACCATCTTAGAAAGCACCTCAGGAGTCACCACGAGAAGTCAGTGAAGCTGAAGCAGGGTTCCAGGTGAAGTGCAGACAGAGTAACTACAGCCACAGAGCATGGAAAGCAAGCAGGGGCACATATGCCCTGTCACCAAGGCTCCCCATGGACACAGAGTGGCTGCCGCATGCTCACTCTGGCTTCCCTAGGCCTTGGTTCTCTTGGGAAAAGGGGCAGAGCAGAGCACCTTTCCACAGAGCATTCTCAACATGACATGAGTACAGATTACCTCAACTGTGGTATTTTAATGACAACAACAACAAAAATGAAAGGCATATTATATGACATCTGAAAGATAGTTACAGAGTTAATTTCTTTTGCAAAATCCCCATAACATTCTCTGAACAGAAGTAGTTCAGTTAGGGGCTGGAGAGATGGCCCAGCAGTTAAGAGCACTGGCTGCTCCTGCAGAGGACCTGGGTTCAGTTCCCAGCACCCATGTGGCAGCTAACAACCACCCCCTTAACTCCAGTTCCAGGGGATCTGATGCCCTCTTCTGACCTCTGCAGGTATTGCACAACAGAGGTGCACTTACATTCATGCAGGCAATAAACTCATATACATAAAATAAATATTTTTAAAAAGAAGTAGTTTAGTTGGTAGACTGCACAAAGCCTTGGGTTTCATCCCTAGTACCGTATAAGCAGGGCAGGGTGCCATATGCCTATATTGCCAATATCTGGGAGGACAGAAGATCAGAAGTTCAAAGTCATTCTTGGCTACATAGGGAGTTTGAGGCCAACTTGAGCTATACGAAACTGTCTTCAAGAAAAGCGGGGGGGGGGGAGGAACATATATAAGTCTAAACTTTAGAGCACTAAAGTTAAAAATTCTAAATCATGCCTTTTCTATAAAAATACTTCAAGAAAACTCAGTCAACAAACACTAATGAACTTGGTTTTTGCTACAGCAAGAACTCCTCACTTAGAGTCGGGAAGTTGGTTTCATACTAAATAAAGAACACAACAGGTATCAGAATTTCTGAGAAACCTCGTAAGAGTGAGAATGAGAAGAAAAATGTTATGCTAATACCAAATCCATTCTTTTCAAAGCAGCACTCCTGTGCTACCTGAATTATGGAAGAAGAAAACTGAATAGCAAGAAAAACACTCGAAAGCATAAGAAAATCTCATTAAAACTTTTAATATGGTTGGGGGGAGATGACTTAGTGGGTACAGACGCTTGCTATGTAAGCCCACAGACCAGAGTTTGATTCCTAATGACATCCAATTCTACAAAGTTATTCTCTGACCGCTACATGTGCACTGTGGCACATTCTCCGCCCCCCCCTCCACACACACACACACACACACACACACACACACACACATTATACATATATACAATAAGTAAAAACTTTAATATGTGGATAAAATTTTAAAAGCACAGTTCTGAAAACAATGAACTCTTCTTGTTAAGGGTGAATAGGCTTTTGGTTTTGTGTTTTAGTATTGTATTTTAAAAGCTAGTATGAATAGGGATGAGGGCAAAGTTTGTATTTTTTACTTTATGTATTTGAGAAGTATTTGCAAACTATTTGTATATATTCCTTTTGCAATTAAATACATAAAGCACATAAACTTTAAATATTGATTTCTGAGACTGTGGACTGTTAAATATTGATTCATAAGACTAGACTATAAGTTCCATGTTTGCTTTCCTAGCATCCAACATGCAAGAAGACCTTGCAAGAAATGGAGCCTTCCTGTTAAACTAAGTCCTGTGCAGTAGTTAAGTGTTGAAAGCCTGAAAGTCTGCAAACCATGTAATAGGAAAATACACCAGGTGCCATCCAGTACTACTGAAAGAGCCCTGCTTCCTTCTTGCCATCATGGTCTTCAATCCTAGGAATTGTCATATTATTGGGCATTGCTCAAATATTTATGTTGCCAGTGCACAAGTCCCTGGGGCCCCTGCTTCTGCTCCTCAAGCTGGTTAGCATGGTGGCCATGCTGTCTGCTCCATCACCAAGGCCTTAGGTCCCTCCAGGAGAACCTGAAGGAGCCAGTCTCTTGCATGGGCTCTCACTGGAAGCTCACTTCCCACATCTGTCTTCTCTGCTACCGCACAGCCTTCAAGTTCTTCTTTATTTTGTATTTTAACATCACTGCACAACAACAAACTGAAAACTACAAGTGTCTTGAGAAGACCTTGCCATTTGGGTCACACTCAACCGACCTTTTCAGCTTTACAACTGGAGGTGCCGCCTCTACTCCTTCCTCCCCCGCCACACTGTTTATTTCGTTGCACTATTTACATACAATACTATAGCTTTTCTCTAGACGGCTTTGACACACTTCAGTAATTTTTTCTTTCTTATAAGTCAATAGGGCACAGCATTCACCTTTCATTAAACTCTCTGAATAAAATGAACCACAATATTTCAAATCAGATGAACCTGGATTAAACCCCTTGTGGAGGTCACTGCTAGCACAACTATTCTCAGGCACATAAAGACTCCGCCAGAACACCATCTGATTTTCAAATGCCCCTCCTACAACATCATGTCCTCTTCACCTCGGCCACCTCTTCCTGGAACCGCTTTACAGTTCCTCGGCTTCTCTGAGGATGGAGCACCAGAGCAGACCCATGCAGGAGTTCAACTACCTGGCTCTTCCCCTGGAAATCAGCCTCAGAGGCATGGAATATCCAACTCCTGTATGTCAACAAGGTCAGCTTATCTCTACCATGAGAGGGAAGTCATTACACTGGGGAGATAATGGATGGGCAGCGTGGCAACCATCCACATGCAATGGAAGAATCAACTTGTAATGAGAGCACCAGACGACGGCTGGAGAGAAAGGCAGATACTGTGACATGCTCATCTGAGATAACAGTGAGATGCAGCCTAGATTCTGAAGCGCACAGACATCTCATACTCATGCTGGTGGTCACCACCATGCAATTCTCTCTACATGCAATTCCTTTCCTCTGCATAGCATCTAGAGTCTACAAAATGCTTTTTAAAAAACTGTTCCATTTGGGCTGGGGAGATAGCTCAGTTGGAAAAGTGCTCACCTTGCAAGCGTGAAGGCCTGAGCTCAATTCCCCAGAACCCCTGTAAAAATGTGTGGTGTAATGGCACGTGCTCCTAATCTCAGTGTTGGGGAAACAGAGATAGTTGGGTTCAGGCCAGCTAGCCTAGCTATATCAGCAACCCTCCTGCTAGGGAGAGACCCTGTCTCAAAAGCCAACACAAATAGTGAAGGAGGAAGACTCCCAATGTTGAATTCTAGCCCCCACACATACTTACACACACACACACACACACACACACACACACACACACACACACTGTTCCATTTCATCTGAAATCCTGCTTGATTAAGCTTGCACCAACATCTATTTTACAGACGATGAAAGTGAAGTTTTGAGAAGCTACGGACAGCTCTGAGGTTACAGGACTAGTACACGGCAGAATCCAAACTCAGGTCGTCCCTATTAATGTCAGTGAACCGGATACTATGCCGCAGCTCTTTCCTGGCAAGTGATGCTCAGTTTTAAACCGCAAAGCTCTATTTAACTACATATTTTCTAAAAACTTTAATTGACACATAATAATTGTGCATATTTATGGGTTATGCCCTGGAAACTTAATGTATGTATATGATCAAATCTGGGTTACCAGCATTTCCATCTCCTTAAACATTTATCATTTCTGTTGAGAAATATGACAAATGACTCTCTTCTAGTTCTTTACAGAATACATAACTGTTGTAATCTAGTCACCTCCTGAGCTTTGGAACACTAGAAGTTACTCTCCCTAGACTGCATTCAGTTTTCCCCCAGAAGTCTTCTGCAGAGTCCCTCCATCTGGTCTCCACAATGTACCCACCTCTTGTGCAAAGGACTCTGCTTTCTTGCGAAGGTCCTTCTCCAGCTCCAGGGTGACCTGCATTTCCTCATACTCTTCCACTGCCAGCATGGACACTTGAGCAGACAAGGGAAAGAACAGACACAAAAGTTGTGCAAATTACCAGCAACATGAATGGAAACCCAAGCAGAAAAGCTTCTCCATAAGGCTCACAGGCACCCAAGTCCATTCCTGGCTGGCAGAGACATTGGTGAGCTTTACAGAAGGTGGTTTAGCAATGTGAATTGAAATTCTAAAACCAGTCACACTCTTTGACCCAACTATTAAATGCACATCCTAAGAGAATAAGTCACAATGATATACAAAGATTTTGTTGCAAGCCTGCTTTCCATATTATTAATGAGAACACTGAAATTGCCTCATAGTAAAGGACCAGCAAAGTACAGTGCCAGACAATCACTCTGCTATCAAAACCATACTGTAAAAGAGGCAGTGAGTTCAAGGACAGCCTCGTCCACACAATTCCAGACCAGTAGGGCGACCCTGTCTCAAAAAAAAAAAAAAAAAAATTACTTAAAGACAGGAACTTTCCAAAGACAAGTCCTGTCAAATAAAAGCAATGTGCCATCATGCTACTTTTGACATTCACTGGCCTATTTTGTTAAAGAAGGATGCAGGAAAGATTCAGGGAGTGGTGACGTCATTAGGAACCAGGCACAATGCAGGAAGCCGGCCACAGAGAGGCCTCGCTATGAGCTGAGTCATATCAATAAACTCCCTGCCAAGGCCCTCTTAATGGCTGCTTTCACATGCTGTTCCACTGGGCACTTCAATCCTAACTGACTAAGGACAGGTTTGCTGTGTAATGACATAGAATTTCAAACTCTGTACTCGGTAAATCTACTGCCTCCTCAGACGGAGGCCGAATAGTCTCACTCAAGTAAAGTAATATAAGTGGCAGTTTGTGCTGGGAATTATAGGTCCCTGAGTGCTAAATGACTTTCAAAGCTATTTAAAAAAGAAATTTCATGAAGGGAACAATGAAGACCCTGACTATCTGCAGCTCTGGGCAGGATGATCGACTCCTATGTCCAGAACACTATAATAAAAAGTGAATTTTCACGTCTAGGTCCCTTTGACTTAGATTCTGAAAGGGATTGGGCTGGTTCTGGTGGTTTATTTATTTATAGATTCCTGTTTCTTTCTAGATAGGGGGCTCTCTGAAGGCAAGAGCCATGTGATGACTCCTGTTTCCACACAGTGCATAGAGAATGCGGGTTCTCCTACACATCTCTGTCTGCCTCTGAAACAGGACCTGAAGGAATGCTGCCCTCTGACCCATCTCTACTTAACCCCCAGGCCTTCTCTTCAAAACCCCTGGCTGAGAAGTGACAAAAAGAATGAGAGCCACCAGCAGGGATGAGGTGGACAGCCCTGGGTCAGAGCGATCCCCTGCTGGTGTCTGGTCTTCTGAGCCCGGATGCTAAGTGCCTTGGGGTCAGGGTGGAGGCAGAACAAGATGCATTGAAGTCTCTGCTGTGGCTTGGGTGTGCTTTACCCTCCAAAGACGCACACGTTGCCAGGCTTGGTCCCCAGCACGACAGAATTGACAGGTAATGGGTCCGTAAGAAAGGGCCTTACTACTAGGTAACAGGTCAATGTGGGTACTGCCTGGAAGGGATTAATGTTGGTCTCATAAGTAGGTCAGTTCTCACTAGAGTAGACTGTAATGAAAAGAACAAGACTGGTCCCTCTCTTGCCACATGATCTTTCCCTCACATCACATACTGCCACCTTGATGCTGATACCTCAGCAAGGTATGCTTGATGCTGTGACCTCAATAAGGAGGCCCTCACCACAGCCAAGTAGATAATGATGTCGTGCTCCTAGATCTCTGAAGCTGGGAACCTATATTCTTTATGAAGTACCCAGCCTAGAGTACTTTATCATATCAACAGAAAGCAAACTTACATAGTTCCCTCCTTCAGAATGACTTTTAATAGAATCTCACTTTGGCATCGCACCCTGACCTAAACTGGGCAACATAAGACCTGGTGAGACTTTGCCATGTTTTACAATAAGAGCGATAGGCTCTTACTGTTGGTGAGAACAGGGTCCACTATTGACCAAGTCACACAGCATTTTGTTTAGAAGCAGCCATTGGAAAAACTTCCCTCTCACCATGAGGCCATATCACAATCTCCTGACTATTAGATTTGGTTTTATGTAATTCATATAAGTGGTCATAAATCCCTTGCTGTGCTGACCACTAGATGGCTCAGAGCCATATTTTAGGTACACAAACAGGAACTCTGCAAGATCTCAGAGCAAGGAAACACTGGGTATGTCAATCTTGATGCTCATTTTCCAGTTAGTTTATTTTTATTTTTTAAGGTTTATTTTATTTTGGAGGGCTGGAGAGATGGTTCAGCAGTTAAGAGCACTGGCTGCTCTTATAGAAGACCAGGGTTCAGTTCCCAGCACCCACAAGGTGGCTAACAACTGTCCATAACTCCAGTTCCAGGAGATCCAGCATCCTCTTCTGACCTCCATAGGCATTGTACAACATGGGTGCACTTACACACATGCAGGCAATATACTCATACATATAAAAATAAAATTAATAACATACTTTTTAAGGATTTATTTTTAATTATGTATATGTGTGTATCTGTAAATAAATGCCAAGAGAAGGCATCAGATCCCCTGTAGCTAGAGTTACAGACAGTTGTGAACCACCTGACATGGGTGTTAAGAACTGAACTCTGGTCTTTGCAAGAACAGTAACATGTTCTTAACCACTGAGCTATCTCTCCAGCACCCCTACTTCCTCCTATTTAAAAAATGATTACCAAGTTTGTGTAGCTTGCCTAACCACTTCTGGATTTAGATTCACTAACTAGTCCGTCGATCATAAAAATGTTGAGGGGACAGGCAAAAATGGTCACAGGTCTAGGATGTACACAGGACAGAAGTCTGTAGGTTTGAAGTTTCAAAATGAGCTGGTTCCGAGTTCCTTAAGGGAAATCACTTTTAGTTAGTGTGTGTGCAACTGTGTGTGGTATGCGTACTTATTAGTGTGTATGTGTACATGTGGAGTCTCAAGTTGATGTTGGGTATCTTCTTGATTGCTCTCCACCTTTATTTTTTTGAGACATGGTCTCGTACTGAACCTGAAGGTCCCCAGTTCACCTAGTAAGGCTGGCCAAAGAGCCTCGGGCATCTCTCCCAGGACTGGGATTACAGGAGCACTCCAGCACCCCAGCCTTTTCACCTAAGTTCTGGGGACCCAATCAAGTCCCCGTACTTGCATATCAGGAAATTTAACAACTGAGCCACCTCCCCAGCCCTGGAAATCACTTTTAAATGTCCTCAGTGTTAACATAACAGGAACGAGAGAAATTCACTGCTAGGAAAAGCACAATCTAGGAAAAAGATTTGGGTACAAGAAACTTTAGGCACGAGTGTAGAATACCAAATACATGGAAACAAAGGATACATGTGTTTGAGAAAGGAGAGACTGGAAAGACATACCTCTGTTGCATTTCTCTAAGACTTTTCTCTGTTCAAGAACTTCTGAACTTAAAACAGCTTTTTCTTGTTTAACTTTATTTACCTACAAATGGAAGATACAGAGGAGAGAAAACATCCAAAATTGTGAAACATGGCATGTGGCAGCCACTGAAGCTCAAGTGGTTGTCCGGCCTTCAGCATGAAGTGAGTGTAAACGCTGCCAATCGGCTCCTTCACAGGGGAAGTTCCACTAAGGCTAGTAGGAGGAACTCAGGCAGGATGGGGACTTCCAGTTAGGAGGCACGCCAGGCAGAGCTCATTTACATATTCAAAGAGACAGTAGACCCTACTCACGACATTGTTCAAGCCCTTCAGTGTCACCTGTTGATACTTTTGGTTTTTTGAGACAGTGTCTCCCTGCAGCCCCAGCTGGGCCTAGAACTGGTTATATAGACCAGGCTGGCCTAGAACTCACAGAGATCCACCTGCCTCTGCCTCCCAAGTGCCAGAATTAAAGGCATGTGCCACCAATGCCTGGCCCCTGTTCATATTTTTAATGCAAAAATCCAAGTAGAGAGCACCCTAAAACCACACCCACCATTTGGAAAGAGAGGAAGTACTCAGTCTGAAGAGTTAGTTTTAATTTTGATGATTTTTGGCTTAAAGAAAGCATACAACATCTAAAATTTTTTTAAAAGATAACTAAACTTTGATGACTTTTGGCTAACTTTAAACTTTGGTGACTTTTGGCAAAGAAAAATACATACAAGATACTCTCACCCAAACTTAAAATTCTGAAATAACTTTGAACATCAATCAGAAGAAAAGAATTTCACATAGCAGTTTAAAAAAACTGTAATGCTACCCAAATCAAGGTGGCTAAATTTTTATTTAATGTGTATGAGTATATTGCCTGCATGTATGTAAGTGCACCCATTTGGTGCAGTGCCCACAGAGGTCAGAAGAGGGCGTCAGATCCCCAGGAACTGGAGTTACAGATGGCTGTTAGTCACCATGTGGGTGTTGGGAACCAAACCCAGGTTCTCTGCAAGAGGACCTTAACTATCTGGGCCATCTCTTTAGCCCTAAGGTGAATAAATAAAACTTAAATGCATTGTGCTGAATTTAAAAGGACAGGTATGTTTACTGAGTCTAAAAACACTTCAAATATCCAGTTCTCTACTAAGCATGTAAGGGCACACACTGGAATGCTAAACAGCACCTTCAGAAAGCAACAGCTGTTTAGGGAGCTGGGAGGGGGATGAGGAGGCCACCGCAGAAGGATGCTCCAGTATTTCACCATCACTGCGCTGGTAGTCTGTGACATAAACTGAACAGAGATGGAAGGAAGTTCATTGCTTTGTTCTTGATTCCTTTCCAGATGATGGAAATAATCATAATAAAAATTACTTCTGAATCATCTTGCTGTAACCCCTCTAAGAGTGTGGGGAAAGTCTTATCAATAAACAACCATCACTAAGGGACAGATGGTAACAGAATGTTTCCTGTCCCTCTTCTGTAGTTATACTTGAGAAACATAACCATGGTGGTCCTGAATGTGGCTTTGAATCCATCAGCACCTCCAGAGAGTCTATGAACTGGATTTTCTTCATGTAAAGCTTATTTTTGGTTTAGGTTTACATTAGCAAGTGGTATACACAGTCCAACAGGGATGTCCCTTCGAAGATAGGCCCCATTCTTCCCACTCATTACAATGTTTTGGTAAAACAAACAAAAGCATTTGGGGCTGGGAGGTTGGCTGCCTAACCTTTGTACACAGTGGCCTTCAAGGAGCTAAGAATGTATGCAGGAAGGGAGGTGACCAGGTAAGGATGCTCACTGATGGGACAGTGCCTGACACTCATGAGCCATCTGAGTTTGCCACAATGCTGGCCCTGGTTTGGAAGCTCTGGGCTACAGAATATGAGACCTACGGACACAAGTTAAATCAAGGTCGTGAAGGCAAATTCTTGACGCCTTGTTGAAAACAAATGGTAACTGAGTGGTCCTATGCTTACACACAGTTCAAAAGAAAAAGATTCTTCCAAATCTTTACGTGAACTACTCTGCCAACTTCCTCTGCTGCTCTATGAGAGGGATGCACACAGATGGTCCTTCCCTGCTGGGCTGGGAGAAGAGTCACCATTCTTACAATCTCATATAAGAAAAAGTGGGGGACCACAGGGAACCCACCAATGCAGCCATAGGGTTTGGTTACTAAGCTAGGAAGTGGTATGTGAGTATTCATGATCTTACTTTCTATATCTGTATGTCTGAACTAAGGAGGATGAGAGAAAATTAAAGTTGGCCCATGGTTCCCATACCATAAGTTAGCTTCCAATAGCAAATCTTTAACTTAGTTCCCAAACTCGTGGTGTGTTTAAAACACTAATTTCAGGCCTATAATACGCACTTCTTCCATTGCTTCAACAAGTTTGCTCTTGAGATTTTCCAGCTCAATGGCTAATAGCTTCTTTTCTTCCTGAACAGATACAATTTGATCTCGAAGTTCTGCAATTTTAAAGGAAAAAAAAATACATTTTATTTTAATTTTTTAATTAGTGACGAAGTGACTGGTTTCCTTATGCAATTTCACTCAGTTTTGCTCTGGCCTCGCTCATCCCTCACCTGCCTCCCTGCTCCACTTCCCACTTGTGCCCTTCCAGTCCCAGAATTCCCCTTCCCTGACCACTCCCCTCCCTTAAAACCTTTTAGGCCTCTTTCTAACCTTATGACCTCAACCCACACTCACTCCCCCCCATAAACACACATAAATGAAAATTAGAATCTAGCATACACAAATGAGAGAGAACATACATTATTGGTCTTTCTGAGCCGGGGTTACCTCACTTAACATAATATTTCCCAATTCCACCCATTTTCCTGCCAGTTTCATTTTCTTTTGATCTTTGTGTGTACATGTGTGTACATGTTCATGTATGTGCCCGTGGGTGCAAACATGCCACACACAGCACGTGTGTGGGAGTCAGAGGACAACTTCAGGTGTTAATGGTTCTCTTCCCCTGCTTTGAGATGGAGTGTTTCATTGTTCACCCCTGAGTACCCCAGGCTAGCCGGCTCTTGAGCTCCTGGAGATTTTCCCATCTCTGCCTCCCATCTTGCTGTGGAAATGCTGGGGTTATAGACAAGTGTTATTATGTCCAGCTTTACATGGGTTTCGGGGCTCTAACTCAGGTCCTCACATTTGCACAGCAAGTGCTTTATCCACCGAACCATCTCCCTAGTCCATCATTTCATTTTCCTTTACGGCTGAATAAAATTCCATTGTGTATATAGACCACATTCTTGTTATCTATTCGTCTGTTGATGGACATTTAGGCTGGCTCCATTTCCTTACTGTTGTGAAGAGAGCAGCAACAAACATGGATGTGCAAGTATCTCTGCGTGAGGATGCAGTCCTTTGGGTGTATGCCGGGGTATGGTATAAGCGGGGTCATAAGGTAGCCCTATTTTATTGTTTTGAGAAACCTTTATACTGATCTCCACAATGGTTGCAACTTGAAATAAACTTATTTTTTTAAAGGAAGACACCAACATGACCAAATGCAGTTCATGGCAAAGGTTATCTCACAACAAAAAGAAAATGGGACAATGAGAATCTCACTTGGAAAGCCACCCTCACACCACAGCTCCTAGTGATGTTATACATCGCACTGTCTCACCAATTCACTGTGTTAAATGGACCAGACCGAATTTTCTTTGCAATCTATCAAAACCCCACATTCTAGAAAACTATCTGGCATTTTAGAAGTAAAAAAAATTTTAAGCTTTCAGCAAAGACAAATTAAGGCATTGTACCAATTTCTCTTTTATTTCATAATAGCCATGGGCTCTTGTCACAATACAATATAAACAAACAATTGGGCAGTTAATAATTTGGAGATTTAGATTTGAAGGAAAAAAAAATCCTGATTCTCTGCCAATTTATAGCCCTTAAACATGTTTTGAACTGACTTGAAAATGTAAAGAAGGGTTAATTCTAGTAATTTTCTCTCCAGAGTTGTGGGTGTTTTGTTTCTTCATTTATTTCTATTTTTTTATTATTGAGATTTAATGAAAATGTGTTACGAGAATGAAAAATATTAGCAACTATAACTGCAAAAGCTTCTGGTGTTAAAGTGACTTGTGTCACTGAAATGTTTAAAAATACCCATGGATTAGCCCAGGCTGCTTGACTTTCTACTGAAGCTCACTGTTCTGCCACTTTGTTTTTAACAGCTTTTCAGTTAAAATTCCTAGGCTTCTCCAAGGGCAGTAAGAAACCTGCTATGTGATTATTTATAAATTGAATTAACTTTTTTTCACATGGACCCAGCTTGAAGAAGTTCTGAGATTTGGTTTTAAATCACTTTCTCCACTGGCTGGCTCAGTCCAGAGGGAGGAAATGAGACCATATTGTTCAAGGCCTAGCAAACAAGAACAAGGAACAGAAGGGATCCTTTCAGCTCCCTCTCCCTCCAACCAGCAGTGATTCTATCTTGTGTTAGTATAAGGGGTTGAAGAGTGGATAAAACAGATGGCATCCTTCCTTCTTTATACTTCCACCTGAAATTTTATCTCCCAAGCACAGTAATAAACACTACTTCTGAGTGTTTATCAAGTTAAAATGTTCCACTAGTCACTGAACCAGACTGTTTTCCTACATCTTTAACAAAAGATCTTCCCAGAAGATTCCAACAGAGAACCAAACAAAAACAGGGTATTTGCTAAACACATACACACACACACACACACACACACACACACACACACACACACACACACACACCATTTTGATACTTGCTCTGTACTACTGTGCTATACCACCCACTGAAGTGATAGTTTGATCCATAGTTTCTTTCATTTAACAAAACTACCTTAACACATGCTCCAAACTAAGTTATGGTAATCACCTATTTCTAGCCAGACAACACCTTCTAAGGTGCCTAATTCCAAACAAGAAAGTAATCCACAAAGCAAAAAAGTTATAACTCTCTTAGGATTCTCAATCAGACTTCTCTAGACACCCCAGGATAGTTGTTAGACATTTTGATGGTAAGATCCAGGCATCAGTATTGTCAAAAATTCTGTTAGTGTGTACATGGTACATGTGTGCATATGTGTGTATGGGCACACATACCTCTGCACTCATGTGTAGAGACCAGAAGAGGATGTCAGCTGTCCTGCTCTGTCACTCTTAGCCTTATCCCTTAGACAGGGTCTCTCGTTGAAGCTAGAGCTTACTGTTTTCCTAACTAGATTGGCAGTGTTTACACACTCCTAGCTCTGGGTTAACAGTCACACACAGCTTTTACTAGATACTGTAGATTTGAACTCAGGTCCTTCTGAAGACTCAACAAGTGCTCTTACCTGCTGAGCCATCTCCTTTACCCCATGTATTTTCAAAAATCCTCATGGAATTCTTTTGTGCACTTGGAAATGTAACGCACTGTCCCAGCAGGAAGCGTGCTGGGTAGCAACACCAGAGTCTCACCTTTGATTTGCTTCTGACACTGAACAGAGACACAAGCCTCGGCTGCACCATCTGTGTCGGTGGTTGAATCATCATCATCATCGATGTTTATCTCCTCTGTTATTACATCCGGTCCCAGCTTGGCCATGTATAACATACTGATTCTTTTCAGGGTCTTATTTTCTTTATTTAGCTGAGATAAAATATAAAACTGGTTATTTTAATAGCGGCCAAGTCAGTATCTTGGACTTTTAAACAATAGAAAAATTAAGCATATTTTTGTCTTACATAGTAATCAACATTCCTAGTAGGTTAGCAACAGGTATTCATTAAATAAAGTTTTACTCACATGGTTTAATAGTAAATTTATTGCTTGAAATAAGATCTTATACCTGGATTACAGCAACAGTAAGTGGGAATGTTAGTTACAACAGATAAAAAATATATATAAGAAATTCAGGGGCAAGGTAGCTCAGTGGGTGAAGGTGCTTGTGCAAGCCTGAGTACCCAAATTCCCCAGAACCCACAGTAGAAGAAGAGAGCTGACTCCCAAAAACTGTCCTCTGACCTCCACATGTGTGCCATGGCATACACACACACACACACACACACACACACACGAAAGGAATATAAAGAATTCAAATAAAATACTCATTTCTAGTCATTAATAGTCTTAATTAAAAAATATTTCAAAAACATTTTATATTTGATGTTGTGCTGAGAACATTCTCATAAATATGCTTTCCCAGCATCCTCTCTTTTCTGGATGTTTCAACTCTGCTTCACTGTTCACTCAGCACCTACGGAAAGAAAATAGCATTGGCGGCAACTAAACAGGCCAAACTTTGGAAACATGACCCACGTTTGGTTAATCAGATCTCGTCTCTAAAAGTTCGGAAGCCAGAGAAAGGGATGAGTTTCTGTATCTCTCGGTATCCAAGAGGTACTGACAACCACCTCTCACTAGTGGATGAGGAAGAGAGAAAGAAATTCTGTAGTAAAAGTCAAAAGCAAGTTGACATGCAGAGAGAGGTGGAGAAAAGCAACACAGAAAGGTCCAGCCCAGGGCCCGAAAACACATTTGTATTTTGAAAGAAGATATATATACATATATATATATATATAAACATATATATAATCTCAGGTACACACAAGTTGGACATTTTTGAGAACTCTGAATTCACATATTTTAGAGAAGTAATTTTATTGGTGGTGGGGGGGGTCTTTTTGAGAACAGGGTTTCCTTATAGCCCCAGCTGGCCTGGTACTCACTGTGTAGACCAGGCTGGCCTTGAACACAGAGATCCACCTGCCTCTGCTGAGATTAAAGGCATGTGTCACCACACCTGGCCTAGAGAAGCAATTTCATCATGATTATTCAGTTAACTGCAGATAACAGTATGCAACATTTGCAACACTCCTAAGTCATAAGGCAAAAAGAAATCTTTTTAAAATGTTATAATAACTGAGGGCTAGGCATGGTGGCATACACCTTTAATCCCAGCACTTGGGAGGCTGAGATAGGTGGATCTCTGTGAGTTCAAGGCCAGCCTGGTCTACGTAGTGAGTTCCAGGCCAGCTAAGGCTACAGGGAGACCCTGTCTCAGAAAAAAGACCAAAATCTACTACTATGCTCGAAATTATGTAGTGTTAATATTGGGAACAGCATGATGAAGAAAGGAACAGGGCTGCAAACTAAGTGGCTCTGGATCATATGGCTTAAAATACATGGTCACTTACCATTTTAACCCAGAAATGAAGCAAAACAAAGATCCACACTTGTTTGTAAGAAAATTATGAGGTCAAACCGCATAAGAATGTCCTATTTGACATAACTTTGATGATAAAGATTTGCAATAATTATTTAGAGAAAATTTACTGCTCAGAAAATGGTGCCTACTTTCAAAACTGACAGCAGAAAGTGCTGTTATCATTTATTGATGACATCTGTAACAAAGTTTCCATATTCTGATTCAGGCCACAGTATCATTTACATACAAAGAATACATCTGAGGCATTTGACTAATGCCACTTTAAAAAAACATTTATTTATTTATTTATTTATTTATTTTATATGTGTGACTGTTATGCCTGCATGTATATAAGTGCACCTGTGTCGTGCGATGCCTGGGGAAGACAGAAGAGAGTGTCAAAGGCCCTGGAACTAGAGTTACAGACAGTTGTCAGTCACCATGTGGGTGCTGGGAACCAAACCCAAGTCTTCTGCAAGAGCAGTCAGTGCTCTTAACTGCTGAGCCATCTCTCCAGCCCCCTAATTGCACTTTTTAAATTCTGTTTATTATCTTTACTTAGGCATATGTGTGTATATCTGTGTGTGGGTATGTGCACACGAGCACAGGTGCCCATGAAGGTCAGAAGAGGGCATCAGATCTCTTGGAGCTAGAGCTACAGGCAGTTGCAAGCCACCCTGCATGGGTGCTGGGAACAGAACTCAGTCTCATGTAAGAACAATAAGTGACTTTAACCACTGAGCAATCTTTCCAGTCCCCTTAATTCCATTTTTAAAAAGTTTTAAAATATTTTATTTAATATTTATTAGTTTATGTGTATGAGTATTGCCTGCATGTAGATAAAGTATATTCATGTCATGCAATGCCCACAGAGGTCAGAAGAGGGTGTCAAATCCCCTGGAACTGGAGTTAGGACAGTTGTTAGCCACCAGGTGGGTGTTGGTATTCAAATCTGGGTCTTCCGCAAGAGCAGCCAGTGCTCTTAACTACTAACCATCTCTCTAGACCCTTAACTCCAAATTCCAGATTTTAGTCTTCTTCCCCAAGGTCCAAGAGTTCACCTTACATTCTCAAAAACAAACTGTATGTCTACCTTACAAAAGATTTCTTATAGAGCACGAAACAAATGGTATGTGCTAAGGATCCTATTGTAGGAATAAATTTAGGGATTAGGAAGCACAGAGTTGATAAGCAGGGATAAACATATCAGTCACCTGGCCTACACACATGCACCACAAATAAAAAACACAAAAGGGAAGAATAGATAAGATCAAGATCATTTTTAAAGGAGGCTCTAAAAGGACCACGTACAAAGCATCACGAAGGAAGAAGAAACCCTGCAGACCAGGGACATGAACTAACCTGTTGACTCTCATATGTCCCAAGTGGTACAACCAGGAATAAAATTTGCATATGCGCCTACAAACCCTTGCTTTCCATAAACTCTGCTAATCCTGAGAGGCAGGAAGTGACCTCATCCGAATGTAGTACAATAGAGAGATGATAGTCCTTATGGACTAGAAGATTCGGAGCAGATTCGGAACAGCCAATCTACTCCAAATATATTGTTTCTCTACTTATTCCAAATAAAGGAAATAAAGAGAATACAGTCATCATGGACTGGTGAACTCCAGGGATGGGCAGCCAAGTGAAAAGAATGTAGGATTGTCCATTCTATCATTGCTTTTAGAGCAGCAACCCATTCTGCTATGCAAGCATCTGACAAGAACCATGGTGGCACATGCCTTTAATCCCAGCACTTGGGAGGCAGGGGCAGGCAGATCTGTGCGAGTTCAAGGCCAGCCTGGTCTACATAAGCGAGTATCAGGCTACCTGGGGCTACAGGGAGACACTGGCTCAAGTTAATAATAATAACAACAACAACAACAACAACAAAAAGAAACAGGAAAAAACTTTCACATACATACACACACATACACACACACACACACATGCTCTCTCTCTCTCTCTCTCACTCATATTCTTAGGCTCTGAATATTTTATGAATTCTAATGCAATATTGTTATGCAAACAATTAAGCAAATGTCTCTGGCAAGCACACTGCAAAATGCATATAAATTTAATCAATTTATTTATCTATCTATTTATTGATAGTAGGACTTCAGTCATACCCAAAGAAATATTTCAGAGGTGGGTGGTGTGGATGGACAGAGGGGAGTGAGGGAAAAGACACACAACCAGCATTACTAATGAAATTTGGTTGAAAATTGCTGTAATCCATTTTCTGATGGAGTGGTGCAGATGCTTTTTACCCAACCCAAAATACATAAGACAGAGATTAAAAAAAAATCCTTCTTTAATAATAATGTACTTCTGATGAGACAAAATATAGAAAATTACACACTTGGTAGTCATCAGCTGGAGCAATCAGCAGAGAGCTGGAGGTCACCTTCCGCACGTCTCCTCTGCTTTCACAAATAATCACCTAAAGTGTGAGGCTCGGGGCTGACTTTTTCATCAGATTTAAGCAGAAAACACTCTTTGCTCTTGTGTTTCACACCAGGTTAGTGTCAGCATTGCAACCACATGGGGAGACCTTGAGAAAGTCTAGTCCACCCATCTCCTTTGGGGACCATTTCTCCCAGGCCCATAAGGCACACAGGCTGAAAATACATGCATCGAAAGTCTGCTTTTCTCATCCAAAATTCACTTTGCAGGAAGACAGAGGTTCAGTGAATTGTATCCCAGGATTCTGAGACCTTAACTACATTTTCCTCCTGATCAGAGCAGACAAGTGATAAGAGAAGAGGAGAAAGGAAGCAGGATGGGAGCCAGTCTTTAGAAAATCAAGTTGAAATAGAGGTGTGCAGATACCAATCCCCTAACTTGCAGAGGCTCACCTTTGTTGCCAAGGCTTCCGCACTCTCTCGACACGTCTTCTCTATCTCAAGATGGTTTTGCATGAAATTAACTTCCTCTATAACCATGTGAGAAACTAGGAATGAAGGGGAAAAAGTGTCTCAGCATTCAGAGATTAGTCAGTCGTTCCAGAAGCCCACACACTGCCCCATGATTAAGAATGCTTCAATTCTTTCTCCAGCCAGACCTTTAACCATTGTTGAAAGTTTCTCAGAAGCTGTCTTTGATTAAATCCTAGCTAATATACGTATGCAGAAGGAAAAAAAAAAGAACCCCACATACACAACTAAGAACATTTACAATTATCACGTTTTAGAAGTTATTGAGGACATGTTTAAAGTGTATGTATATATGTGTATGTTCATGTGGGGGGGTACACATGCACATAGAGGTCAGAGGTCAACCTTGGGGCTCATTCCTCAGAAGCCATCCACCTTGTTTTATGAGGCAGGGTCTCTCACTGACCCAGAGCTTGCTGATTTGGCTAGGTCGGCTGGCTAATAATGAATTCACCTCTCTCTGCCTCCCTAGAACTGGGATTACAAGAGCACACCACCCACACTAGGCTTCCGGCATGAGTGGATCAAACTCAGAGCCTCATATTTGCACAGCAAGTGCTTTACCAATGGAGTCATCTCTCCAGGCCCTAAAGTGTATTTGATTTTGGAGGCAGAGTCTCACTATGTAGCCCTGGCTAGCCTGGAACTAGTGATATGGAACAGGCCACACCAACTGAAGACATATCTACTAAATTAAAGAACCTTCCATAAATAAAAAGTGATGCAATGATGCCCTTTTCTTAGCTTAGACAGAACTCATAGATCTAATATGGAAAATAAGCCAAGAAAAAGAAAAGAAAAATAAACTTTAAGTTGATCTTATGGCTGAATTAACAACGGGAAGGTTGGCTGAGTATTGTAATATTACTCTTTAATAACGACAAACTCATTATTGTTATTTCATCGACTCCAGAACAGAACAGCAAGATTTGATATGTCATGATAAAAACAGATGCTCACAAATTGCTTCCTGCAAAGTAGAAAGTCATTAGGGTTAGAAGAAAAATCAAATTTACTTGGCATTTTACCAACACTTGAAAATTTGTTCAATCTTTAGATTATTTTGGTAGCTGTTTAACATAAATGGAGATTTAAAGACACAGTAATTCAGACTTAGAATATATCAAAGATCAAATAGAAAAATACCAGTTCCTTCCACCCCCATTTCTACTCAGAGGAAAATTCTCAGAATCACAAATCTAACTACAGACATGTAGACTAACTTACATTTGTTTGGTGTAAGAAAAAAAAAAAAATTAAAGGATATCCAAATGTGAAACCCAACAAATTTAGGCAAAAAAGCACTGGGCTCACATAACACAAAGACAGATTACTTTTGCTTCATTTAAGCTTAATTAACCTGCAATTATGACTAAACTCAGGGGGAAAAATGTTCTCTCCAAATTAAATACAAAAAAAATGTATTACTTCCGAAGTCTGTCCAAAGTTCTTATTATGTTAATATTCAAATTCATAAAGCAGCACTAAATGGCCAGAAACATCTCTAACCTTGACATTTTTTCAGGGGTAATAATCTGCTGCAAATGCGGGCCAACCAAAAACCACTTAACTAATTAGTAGTTGCAGTCACCGAGAAAAACATGAATCAACACTGTTATTACAAGTGGCACATTTGAGTGGCATCTAATTATGACTTGATGAGCACGATACTTGCATTATCAACATTACTACCGCATCCCATCAGGGCCTAAAAGCTGCTGATGGCATTGACTTCAAGAAACTCCCACTCAATGGTACAGCAGCACCCAACAATCGGCTTGGCAGGGGCCCCCCTCACTAAATGACACGTTAAGCGTAATTACTGGTAGACATTGTAAATAAACAGGATTGGAAGTGAAAATTGTACCAAGTGCATAAGACACAATCTGACACATTGGAAGTGGCAGCCTTAATTGAGAGTTTCTTTGACTGCTCAAGATCATTTCAACTGCATTTCTCAGAGGACAGTGATTATAACTGTGGAGACAGACGGCATAATGGTGTCAGCACTGCTGACGGAGCAGTGAATTAAATTGTATCTGCTGTGGAGTGAAAGCTGTGATGAGAGGTACAGATGCCTCAGTGGTCTTATCATTATAACACAATGGTCATGTTGTCATCAACCTTTTCTGGCTCCAATTGAAAAGAAATGATTGTGTGTTGAAGCTCCCCCCCCCTCCACACACACCCCCCCCCTTGTCCTCTTCTATCTCCTGTTCTGAATAGAACCAATTTTCAGAGAGCTATGAAATCACGCAATAGGTCCTAAAATGCAGCTGCTTGGCATACAAACGGGTCCCCATTAAACTGGAATCACACACAATATGTGTTTATGCCAGAAGAACAAATAGAAGCTGAACACAGGCCAAGTTTATTCACATACACAAAGCCCATGTAGCTCTTCATCAATGTAATTGCCTTTTATATTGTAGTTTAAATAATAGGCTCTATTATTTCCTTAAAATCCTAATATTCCTGGCATTTTATCACTATGTTTACAAGGTAGGTTCTTCAAAAATGTGAAGGAAAGAGAAAAGAAACCTATACAATTTTTACAACATCAAATATTACTTTGAATTTTTTTGCTTTAACTACTTGACATCTTCTGCCACAATCTGGTATTTCTACACTCACAACAAAAACATAAACACTCTGTATTTCTCATAGGAATTTGACTTTTTATTCAATAACATTCTTGCTCATGAAAGAGTAAGAAAAATCATTCCGCCGTCATGAGGCTTAGGCCTAGAAAAAAATAGTAAGAAGGACATGTAGCGTTTATTTCCTAAATATTTTGTAAAAGGCTGTCCTGTGATTTAACCTGATAAACTCCTTCAGGAAGACTTGTCCATGCTTCCTCGGATTTTGACATGATGGAGTCTGTCAGGTGAGGGCTTTGGTTCTTTCTCAGAAGAGGAAACAGCAGAAAAATTGTAATTGTGTTTCAGTTTTTTAGTTTCAGAAATTCTCCCAACGCCAAACTGACAGCATAGAAATCTACCTATCTGCTTTCTAGGTTCAGAAGGGAAGAATAGACAAGATGGGCATTTGTATCTTTTAAAAGGAAGACCTCATTTCAAATCCCAAAAGTCAGGTCATATAATACATAACAAAAATAATTCTAAAGTATATATTGATCTGTCCTTTTGTTTTTTTGTGTTTTTTTTTTCTGAGGCAGGATCTCACTGTGTAGCCTTGAACTCACAGGGATTCACCTGCCTCTGCCTCCCAAGTGCTGGGACCAAAGGTGTGCACCACCATGCCCCCATCCTCTACTTTTGTTTTAATTTGAGTTTATTTATTTATTTATTTATTTATTTATTTATTTATTTATTTGTGTGTATGCCTTTACACAGGTACTGCACACTTGTGGCGGTCAAAGGACAACTTGTAGGAGTCGGTTTTATTCTTCCATAACATGGACCCAGGAATTGAACTCAGGTTGCCGGGCTTGAAGGCAAGTTCCTTTACCTGCTGAGCCATCTCACGGACCCCTATTTGGCCTTTGCAAAGAATACAGATTTTTTTTTAAATTAACCTTTAACCATTTATTTATCGGTCCTGAATTTGGGCTTGTCTCGTTATTTCTTTTTTTTTAATTTATTATTTTATTTTATGTGTATGAGTGTATTGCCTGCATGTATGTGAGTGCACCTGTGTCGTGCAATGCCGTGGAGGTCAGAAGAGGGCTTCAGATTCCCCTGGAACTGCAGTTAAAGATGGTTCGTAGCCGCCATGTGGGAGCTGGGAATTGAACTCGGGTCCTCTGCAAGAGCAGTCAGTGCTATTAACCGCTGAATCATCTCTCCAGGACTGTCTCGTTATTTCTATGACCCCCCCACACACTTTATGTATGAAATTCCTTTTTTTTTTAAGTGATGCATTTGAAAAAGAAAAAAGGTAAACTTTAAGGAAAGGAATCTTAATAATACAGTAATACTTTGGGAAAAAAACAAAAATTCATACTGAAATATTCATTGTCAGCAATATTATAACGATACAAAGACTGATATTAACATCAGTGTAACAACATGTCACGGTGGGTGTGTAGACATATGGATAAAGGATAACTGAACTTGAGTTGATAACTGTTGGATCACAGATACACAAGGGCTCATGGCACTGTTTTCTAATTTTTCAATCACTTTGAACTTTGAAAAATTTGAAAACAATGTTTAAGGGCTGGGAATATGCTCAGTGGGTAGAGTGACTGGCTAGCATTCATGAAGCCCCAGGGCTCGTCCCCAGCACATAGCACTGAGAGAGGTGGTGCATACCCGTAATCCTAGTACTCAAGAGGAGGAAGGAGGATCAGAGGGTCAAGGTCATCCTCAGATGTATAGAATTCAAGGCCAGCCTGGGATATATGAGATCCTGTCTCAAAAATAAATAAAATAATGGGCTGGAGAGATGGTTCAGCAACCAAGAGCAGGTACTTTCAAGAGACCCGATTTCAGTTCCCAGCACCAGTGTCTGGCAGCTCACAACCACCTGTAACTCCAGCTGTCTTCTGGCTTCCTCGCTGCACACAGATGCACATACCCCCCAACCCACATACATAAAGTTAAAAATAAAGTAAAAATCTTTAAAAATAAATAAGTAAAATACAGACCTTGGGAACTCATGAATAACCTAAAGGCATATCAACTGCTGTTTCGACCAGTCTAGTTGAATTAGCAAAGTCTGTCTCTCTTCATCCATGACCTCCACTCTTACATACAGGCCATCGGAGTACACATCAGATTGTAGGGTTATTGGGGTTTAACTTACGTTTGTCTTCTACAAAATGTTAGCATTAAAGGAGCACTTTCAGACAGAGTCTCACTATAAAGCCCTGAACTTTGCTCTATAGACCAGGCTAGTCTCAAACTTGAGGCTACCCTCCTGTCTCTGCTTCTCAAGTGCTGGAATTATAGGCATGTGCCATTTTGTTCTCTTACATGTAGCATAAAACACATAGAAAGCAGGTCTTCACCTTGCTGAAACATGGATCAGGCCTGAGTTTGCTTGTGAACATCCTTTTTCTAGAATGTTCTCTGCAGTGTAGGACTGCTCTCCAAGTACTGAGCCTGACTGTGCCTATCCTTATCCTAAGCCTTTCACCTGTGCTCCCAGCAATCCTCAGAACACTCCTACAAAGTAGATGTTGTCATAGCAACTTTATATCCAAGAACACTGGGGCCCACAGAAGTAAAGCAAAATACTTGGGCACAGCTCAGGCTGATAAGGCCCACCCAATCCCATTTTTGGAACACTCCACTTTTCCATGGTCCTTCCTCATTTGTTCCAGTTGAAACTGTCTACACCAAAAGCCTTGTTTCCTCAGAAACATCTCTCCACACTCCACCTCCTAGCGATATGACACATGGGATCTCTGAAGCATAGGCTGTGAACATAATACAAACTCTTCAACATTAGACTGCTTAAAAAGGTATTTTTGTCTTGCTTTGCTTTGTTTTGTTTTAGATGGGATCTTGTGTTTCCCAGGCAACTAGTCTCAAATTTATTATGTAGCCTAGGATGGTCTTAAACTTTTGATCCTCCTGCCTCTACATCCTAAGCGCCGAGCTTACAGGCATGCACCACCATACCCAGTTTATATAATGCTGGGGGTCGAATCCAGGGTCTCATACATGCTAGCGAAGTCTTCTACCAACTAAGCTTTTTCCCAGCTTTCATGTGTCAAGAAATAACCAGGAAGTTGGCACAATACAGGAAGATTGCTGTAGCCATAACCATAACCCAGGATCTAACTCTGTAGCCTCAGACACATGAAGGGACTTTATTGACTTGTCTTTTACAGGAACCTGTTCTTCTAGGCACATGGCTTCCTGGGAGGTAAAGAGCTAGAGAAACTAGGAGGCAGGCTGAGGGAGAGCTGGCAGAGGCTCAAGAATGGCATGGAACTATGGCTAGGGATGCATGTACCCCGAAGAGAAGGTGACCTCCCCACCTCCGGCTGTGCTCACAAGGCTAGGCTTGACATGCCCTCAGCCCTGATCACAAGGCTAAGCTTGACATGCCCCCCCCACCCCCCCAGCCGTGCCCACAAGCCTAGGCTGGACACGCCCCCCCAGCCATTATCACAAGGCTAGGCTTGACACGCCCCCCCCAGCCATTATCACAAGGCTAGGCTTGACACGCCCCCCTCCCCAGCCCTGATCACAAAGCTAGGCTCACAGGTTCTTCCCACACCTTGAGAGGTAGGTCTGGCAAGAAACCATCAGGAATTTGAGGGCAGCAAAAAAACTTTGCCACAGAGCTGTGCAAATGTGCGGGTTCCTGTGGGAGACCAACTTCCTAAAAATTCACACTAGCAAGTCTTCGTCCTGGCAACATGATGACCTGAGGCAGATGGTGCTGTCAGCAAGGAGCACTTATTAAGCACTTACTATATGCCAGGTACAGAGGTGAGCTCTTTTTATGCAGAGTTTCTCACTTTAGCCTCAAACAGGGTACAAGCAAGGTCATTCATTCCAAATTTACCAAAGCAGAAACTTGCTCAAGGATACATGGATGCGTGCCAAACAGAGCCCATGGTGATAAGATCCAAGCAATATTCCATTCCAGATCTCAAATTCTACCCTTGTTCAAAAGCCATGACCATTTATCTTAGAGTTTTAAAAGAAATAAAATTTTGTTTTGATTTTTCTTTGTGTTACTTTGCTTTGTTTCCTAAGATAGGGTCTCATGTAGCTCAGGGTGACCTCAAACTCAGCTATGTAGCCAAGGATGACCTAGAACTTCTGATGCTCCTGCTTCTACCTATGAGTACTGGAGTTACAGGCTTATACCACCATACCTTATTTTATGTGGCACCAGTGAATCAAATCCATGACTTCATGCATATGAGGCAAACACTCTAGCAACATCACTAGCTAAGAAATAAAGTTTCTTTACTCTGTATTTTATCTTCATGAGTAAAGAATTTACACCCTGAGGCCTGCAGGATGGCTTAGCAGGTGAAGGCACCTGGTGTTAAGTCTGAATACCAAGTGCCAAGTCTGATTCCCAGAACCCACATAGTGGAAGAAGAAAACTGACTACCGTAAGTTGTACACTCTAGCAACATCACTAGCTAAGAAATAAAGTTTCTTTACTCTGTATTTTATCTTCATGAGTAAAGAATTTACACCCTGAGGCCTGCAGGATGGCTTAGCAGGTGAAGGCACCTGGTGTTAAGTCTGAATACCAAGTGCCAAGTCTGATTCCCAGAACCCACATAGTGGAAGAAGAAAACTGACTACCGTAAGTTGTCCTCTGACCTCCATGTGCATGTATATACACACACACACACACACACACACAAACACACACACACACACACAAATACATACAATTAAAAAATGAGTTATATTTGAGGAAGAAGCATAAAAATTTGCTTCATGTTAATTAGTAGATATGAAAAACATTACTAATGAAATGTACCCGATGAATTTATATCCATGCTCAGGTGCCTTTCAGATCATAAACTAAGTTGCTCCTAAGGAAAAAAGTTTTTAAAACTATCAGCAGGATCTAGAGGAAAAGGCAGACTTTCAAAGGGAAATGGGAGATGAGAACAGAATTTACATGTTTCTCCCAAAGGCTGAAACTCAGAGAAAGTTGTTTCCATTCTTGCAGGGTACAGGAGGCCAATCCCTACCACCTAGCTGGATCAAAACATGCTAAGATAAATCCAGCCATAAGAAACAGGAAAACCTGAACCAGCGCCCTGTGCACAGCACACCACTCCACTGTCAACAACTCAAGCACGCTAACTGGCAACAACACCAACGATCAGTCTTTCCAAGAGCACACGTATGCCATCAGGCCTACACTAGGGAATGAGAAAGTACCATGCAACAGCCATTCATAAATATGAGGTATTTCTATCATGGCCTCCTGGCCTCCATGGACAGACAGGTGATTGCCTTAGATTTTCTTTGTTGTGGTCAGATGCTGAAATAAGCTGACTATTGAAATTTAACTATAATACTGCATTGTTACGGCTGTTTTATCTTTCACAAGAGTAAAATGTTTTGTTGTATAGTTACCAAGTCAACTCTTGTTCCCTGACTGATACAGCCTCTGTGGAACGATCAAGAAAGTTCCAGCTTGTATGGAGGAGGTTATTTTCCTGTAGTACCTGACTCTGTGCCCATGACATAGTCCCATATGACACTTTTGGGTCTGATTAGCTATGTTCTGACTCAGGGGATAAATAACAGATTTATGTCCCACAAAAAATAACATAGTTAAAAATTTAGAAGAAAATTACTGTTTGTGGGAATATAATAGTTATTTCAAACATCCAAACTCTTTAAGCTGTTCAAGCTCTGGAAATCTGTTACTTTTCTTTGCTTTTTCTTTAACCATTTTATTCATGTATAAGTGATATGTAAGTCGTTTACATAAATAGACACAGCTTGATCAGTTGGGGAATAAGTATTTGCTTGTGGAACCATTACTACCATCAAGGCCACAGACACCTCCTACAGTTTCTTCCCACCAACTGACTGATTTATATTGATTGATTGATTGATTGATTGATTGATTGATTGATTGATTGATTAGAAGTGCTGGGAATCAAACCAGGGCTTCACATATGCTAGGCAAGTGCCACATGACTGAACTACCTCCCTCAGCCCTACTGAGAACACTTAAAATAAGATCTACCTTGTTATAGTACATTTATAAGTATGTAATAAATGCTTTAGTAGTTATATGCCCAAATCTGTATAGATCTCTAGTGTAGTTCCTTTTTCTTGAATTAACCTAAGAAACTAATCAGATCACTATAAAGATACAAGAGTACTTCCCATGTATTATTGATAGTACTTTAAAAAACGGAAACAATATTAATGAAAGAACAAAGTTACGGTACTATATTACTGTGTATGATATATTTACTACACATTATATATGATCTCCAATAATGTCTATGAGAGGATCATACAGAACTACATAGTATTTCTAAAAACAACAAAACATGGCATATTCATAATATACCACAGAGCAGTGAAAATGAATTAAAGTTATGTATCTCATTATAAATGGATCCCCAAAACCATAACACTGAGTAAAATAACAGAATATGTGAGAAATGATACTTTGGGTACAGAAAGAATATTGCTTAAATTTACATTATGCATATTTATGATGTATATGGTATAAACATAAATATAAGAACATGAAAGATATAAAAAGACAAAAAATAGACTAAAAGAGCATGGAACAGATACAAAACTATGACAGTGGTTGTCCCCCCACAGACAGGAAAGGGAAGGACCAGGGAACAGCAGGCACTGAAGATCTTCCAAGATTATCATTTAGATACTATTGTAGAATTGCATACGTATCATATATTCCAGAAGACTAAGGGTAGCAATTAGAACTGATATACATTTCTCCTGACTTGCAAAGATTTACTGTTTACTGCAAAAAGGAGGCTATAAAATGGAATGTGAAATACACCCTTTTTTGGTAGAAACGTATTACAATAATGAAAGAACAGAGGATACAGTATAAAATACTAGCTTTAGCTTTTCTCGGGAGTCAAGGTAACAAAGTAATCTTGTTTTCCTTTCACTTTTTCCATAGCAAACTTTTCTTATAACAAGTTTAAATTTCTATAATACATTTATAATGCTTATTCCATTACTTTCAAAATCACAGTAATGTCAAGGCTTTTTTTTGGCAAATGGGATGACAATTTTTGTATTTTTGATAATACAACCAGTGCACCCTGCAACTCAACAGGGTCTCTGTTACTCCCACAATCCCCAACTGACGTCATGTGTTGAGACCTCCACAGAAATGCTTACATACTTTTTTGAAATTCTTCCAGTTTTTTAACAGCTTCATCTCGCTCTTGCCTAATTTTGTCACACTGAAAGGAGAAAGAAAAGGGCATGTAAGTTCATATGATAAATTTTAACTCTGACAAGGTGAACAACAAAAGCAAACTCACACAATAGCACTTTTTAATTTTGCAAAACAAAACATCTTTCAACAGCACCAGTGTGGTACCTGGTGTTTGTGCTGCTCATCTAGCATGGGATGTGCGTGCTTGTACCTAGCCAATTCTCTACAATGCTCTAAGATAATTGGTCATCTATTGTTTGTTATCTCTTCAGGAATATACAAATGAGCATGCTTGAGTTAATATGTGTTCCTTTTTTAAGACAACGGATGAGCCCCTTTTCAAGAAGTCTAACTCAATGAACACCTGCTCAGGCACAACTCAGCTTCCTGAAAACTTCAGCTTTTCACAACACTGGTGGGCTCTTGGAGGCCAAAGGAAAGACAACTGAACTGTGTGATGCTGTGATGATGTCACACACCGTGTCCTCACCAAGAAAAATGACCCTGGTATCTTCAGAATTCTAAATAGAAAAAGGTAGAAAAATTTTACAAAGAGGAGATAAAATATTCCACAGTAGTGGGTGTGTGTGGTGGTGCATGCCTTCAATCCCAACACTGGGGAGTTAAGGCCAGCCTGGTCTATAGAATGAGTTCCAAGCTTTAATAAATTATAGTAATTATTATTACTGCCAAGCCTTGTTGCTTTTTCTTCTTTCTTTCTCTCTCTTACTTTTTTTTCACTATGTAGCTCTGGCTGGCCTAGAACTCATGTAGACCAGGTTGGCCTCAAACTCACAGAGATCTGCCTGCTTCTGGCTTGAGAGTGCTGGGATTAAAGACATGCAACCTGTTGGATGCTTTTGCTTGTTTTGCTTTTCTTTTTTAATATTTTATTTATTTTTATTTGATATGTATGTGTGTGTTGCTTGCATGTATGTAAGTGCACCTGTGTCACACAATGCCCAAGGAGGTCAGAAGAGGGCATTGGATTCCCCTAGAACTGGAGTTACAGGTGGTTGTTAACTACTATGTGGGTGCTGGGAATCAAACCCCAGTCCTCTGCAAGAGCAACCAGTGCTCTTAACCGCTGAGCCATCTCTCCAGCCCTGTTGAATGTTTTTAATTTCAAATTTCAATGCCTAAAGAAATTATGATGCCACTGGTAATTTGAAAAAAAACCTCAAATTAAAAGAGTGTGTTAGTCTCATCTATTAGACTGGCAATAACTGAGAAAGTCCAAGACCAACGTATGGTCACATTCTATAGGTGAATAAGCAAGTTGGCATAAGTACTTTGGAAATAAAGGCAAATCAAAATTGGAATGCATATCTCCTATGACTCTATGAATGTTCTATACATTCTCTACAAATGTGTCCAAGGCAGTCTACATACAATGGTCAGCATGTGCAATAATCAATTATGTTACACTCACATGACCCGCGACAGAGCAGTGAAAATGAAAGAAAGCTATAGACTCAATAGAAATCTCAGAAAGCACATTGAATAAAATAGTAGAATATACATTCAATCACACCTTAAGTGCAGAAGAGATTTTATATACTTACATTCTACACATAATGCTGATGTCTATGGTACAAACAAAAACATAAGAACATGAGAGCGAGTGAGGCGCCTCAGCAGGCAAGGATCATTGCCTCCAAACCTGACCTAAGCAGTCAGGATCCACATGACGGAAGGAGAGAACCAGCATCTGCAAGGAGTCCTCTGATCTCCACATGCACACCTCAGCATACATGTACATCCTTCCCCAAAATAGACAGATACAGACACACAGACACACAGACACACACACACACACCCCACACACAAAATAAATGGTATTTAAAATTTTAATATATGACTGGGTGTGGTGGTACATGCCTTGTGAGACTGAGGCCATCCTGACCAGGCCAGCTGGGGCTCCAGGGAGACCCTGTCTCAAAAAAACTTCTTTAATATAGATATAAAATGGAAGGATATAAAGCCATGAAGTAAGTGGCTGTCCATCAGGAGCTGGGAGGGGACCAGGCATTGAGGTGAGTGGCACAGGATGCAGGCCATCACCCATTCTATTGCAATACTTTTTCGTTTATTTCATTTACTTCATTTTACTTTATTTGAAGCTGGCCTTGAATTCCCTATATAGTTCCGGATGACCTTCAACTTCTGATCCTCCAGTCTCTACCTCTGAAGTGCTGGGATTACAGGCATATGCCACCATGCCTGGATTATGTGGTGCTGGGGATCAAACCAGGGCTTTGTGTATTTGAAGCAAGCATTCTACTAGCTGAGCTACATTTCTAGCCTTTTTTTTTTTTTTTTTTTGGTCTTTTTGAGACAGGTTCTCCCTGTAGCCCCAGCTGTCCTGGAACTCTCTAGGTAGACCAGGCTGGCCTTGAACTCACAGAGATCTGCCTGCCTCTGCCTCCCAAGTGCTGGGATTAAAGGCGTGTGCCACCACACCTGGCGCCATTTATTTTTTTTAAAGAAAGTTAAGGGGCTGGAAAAATGGCTCAGCAGCTAAGACTGCATACTGCTCTTGTACAGGATCCGAGTTCAGTTCCCAGCACCCACATCAGGCAAGCAGTTCACAACTGCCTGTAACTCTGTCCCAGGGGGATCCAATGACTCTGAACCTCCTTGGGTACCTGCAGTCATGTGCACACACACACACACACACACACACACACACACACGTATATATACATATATAATTTAAAATTTTTTTAAAGGTTAATTCTGATTAATGGATGGATATTTGTTATATTATTTTAAATATTTTAAAAATAGCTAGTTCAGTTTTCCCCTTTAGTCACTAAAGAATCACTGAAATGTCAAAAGCCCATCTTGGGCTGGGGATATGACTCAGTAACTAAGTGCTTTTGGCAAGCATGAGGATCTGAGTTCAAATTCTCAGCACGCACATAAAAGCCAGGGATGACCACGTATGCCTGTGACCCCAGTATTGACAGACTGAAAACAAGTGGATCCTGGGAGCTCTGGTAGAGGCTGATAAGCAGGACACTCAATATTCTGACTTCCACGTGAATACATGGCCCCTGCATACTTACATGCACGAAACACACACACACACACACACACACACACACACACACACAGTGTCCATTAGACACACCTAAAACATGAAGGAAAACATGTAGCAAGTGCATAGGGCCAAGAGAGCAAAGCTGGTCATCAAATTCTAAATTAGTCCTTCTCACCCCATAAATAAGTCAGGCTGGGCCAGAGACCATTTTCTTCAAAAGGCCTATTGTGGGGCTCAGTGGTTTAGAGCACTGGCTGCTCTTGCAGAGAACCCAGGTTTGAATCTCAGTACCCACATGGTGGCTAACAACTGTCTTAACTCCAGTTCCAGGGGATCCGACAGCCTCTCCTGACCTCCACGAGCATTATAAGACATGGGTGTACTTACACACATGCAGGAAATATACTCATACACATAAAATAATAAAATATTTTTTAAAAAGGCCTATTTCATGAAAGTTTCCTCTAGAAATCTATCCTCTATAAGAATACAAACAGCCCCATCTTGTAGAGTTTCTACTTCCATTTTTTTAAGATATTTATCATTTTCATTTTATGTGTATACGTGTATTGCCTGCATGTAGGTAAGTGCACCAGCATCATGCAATGCCCACAGAGGACAGACGAGGCTACTGGATCCTCCGGAACCAGACTTACGGACAGTTGTTAGCTGCCATCTGAGTGCTGGGATTCGAAACCGGGTCTTCTGCAAGAACAGCCAGTGTTCTTAACCACTGAGCCATCTCACCAGCCACTCTACCTCCAATTTAATAGATAAACTTCACTCTGCATTTTTGTTAATGTATCTAAAATTCTCTTCAGAGCTTTGGACTCTTAAATAGCAGATGACACAACCTGTAACTGTGACACCGCTGACCAGTTGCTTCTAGAATGTTTCTCTTGTTTTCTGGAGCTGTCCCTTGTTTATTTTGGACTTCCCCCCCAAACTCCTGCCAGGCTGTGCACCCCACTACAACAATGCACAGTGGAGCTCAAGGCACAAAAAGAACACTCATTTTCGACTAGATTCAAAGGCTTGAGTCATGATTGTCTAGAGCAACACAGCTGGTGTTTGACTTTCTAATTCATTCTCCATCTAGCGTTTCTACAAGGATGAGGTGCTCTGTGTAGAAGCATCTTCATCTGTGCATCCTTACTCCTGAGTGGTGCTATTGAGGCTCTCAATGTACCTCTCAAAACTCTGTTTAAAGGAATTAAAATGTATCTAATTCTCACTAACATAGCCAATTTTCACTGAAACTTTGCATGACAAGAACACAGGCAGGTGATGGGTGGGGCTCAGTACTCTACTTCCTCCAGCCTGGAAAGGTCCCTCTGGTCCTTCTCACACCAACCACACTATTCCAGTTTCCTAGGCATCAGCAACACCTGATCTTCTTAGGCAGGCCTCTTCCAGCTGCCCAAACAAGAAACCTTATACCCATGCTCTCTGTTCTTAGACCCAGGTGGACAGGCTATAGTTAATAGCATCTTAATTCAAGATGCAGGTAACCTGTTTCTCTAGAGTCCAGTTCACACTGACCCTCCAGTTACCAATACAGTTACAAGCTGCCTCCCAACACCAGCTGTGTTCTACCAGGGGTCTTCGTGTTGCTTTGCTTTCTATTTTCTGCAACCACATTATGATGAAACTGGCAGCCACTGAATTTACCATCTGCTATGCTGAAAAGCTGAAGCAGGGGTGTGGGGGGGGACGGGGGGGAGTTACACATACTGTGAATGCAGTGTACTGATTCCACACCAGAAATGATCAAAATAAAAAGGACATACTCACTTACCAAGCAAGAATCCAAACACCTACATATGATAATCATCTCAGGCAAATCCGAAAATATCTTATGATCTCTCTCCCCAATAAGAATTTATCAGGGAGGATGGGCCATGGAGAAGTGTTCCAGCTCTGTGCCACACAGAAGCCCCCGCACCCATCCCACCCTCTCCTCTGCCCTACTCACGCAG